GAATTCTTGGTGTTTATTGAAGGTCAATGATCATTGTAAGACAAGGAGCACTGAGCTAACTCAAGTTTATTTTGATGCTGCTCCTACAAGTGTAATACAATATAAATTATTTTGGTGCCAAAATGTTATTTACTTTAACATTTTAAGAAGTCTACCTTTATTTAGAATTTGCAAATAGAGCTATATACAGTACAGTGGTTATAAGTAAAAATATATTTTAGGTATGAATAGAGGTATAGTTACTATATTCTTTAGGAAGAAATTTTTAAGTATCATTTTTGTGGGGAGCCAATATCTATTGTAATAAGGACTTGTCTATTAACATATGGAACATAAATACACAGCTTTTACATTGACTGAAGGATTGTATAATAAATTGTGTACTGTACTAATTTAAAATATTTTTTTCCCATGGATGATATAAAAATGTCAATTTATTTTTGTTTTATTCTATAACTGTCCTTTCCAATCTGTATATCACTTGTGCATTGAATAGGCATTCATGTTCGTCTGTGCAAATGTCGAACATCAGCTCTCGGTAAGTCATGTGATTCCATTTGGTGGGGCCAAGATGGCTCTCTCTTGTTAGCCACTCTGGACAGCCACACAACTATCAAATTAATAGCACCCGATTCTTGAGCCATAAAAACCTTACTAGAGACCAGAGGCCAAAAACTGAGCTCACAGAGGCACTGAGAGCAGGAGATACTTGTCCTCACTAACGGAGGAAATAGTGAGCAAAAAAACAGAACACGACAAAGTGTACATTATCAAGGCAAGGTAAACAGAAAGACACCCAGCTCTGGTTTATTTACACAGTATTTACTGATAATAGCTGTCCACTTTTACTAATAGCTATATAATTCATTATAGATTAGCAGTTGCTGGATATTAATAAGACACTAAATATCACTGAGGATGCCAATACGAGAACAAAAGCACACAAGACGAGTAATATCAAAGGTATCAGATTCACTAAGGATGCTATTGAGTGAAATGACGACCAGGGTCAGTTGAGAAGTAAGACACGAACGTCCTGAAAATCAAGACATTCTACAGGTCAATGACCGTAAGAGGGACAGTGCTGTGAGAAAATATCTACTACATATATATGTGATTAATAATTTTCTGAACCCTTTACAATTTAAACCTCTTACGAGAAACAAATCACTGCAGGCGATGAGTCACAATAACGTGGCTAAAGAATCGACTTGAGAATGGTCCAGGACGGGCCGAAACATCGTCGTCCCTTCACCTTCTAATGTGTGGTCTGGTCAACAAACAAATCACTGTTTACAAATGAATATGATTATATGTATTGATGTCTCATTCTGTTGTCATGAATACCACGACATCTGGTACTCCCAGATGATGTCATAGTCGTTTAAAGCATGCATCTGGGACTACCCAGCCCATAGGTTCGAATCCTCAACATGGCTTCTGTGGATTTTCTCATTGATATATCATGATAATGTGATTTCTCTGTGTATTATGTACTGTATATTTATAACTGCATAGAAAAGACCAAGTGGGCGACGCCACGTCACAACTGGTCTATGCTCCATTACGGTCAAATGAGCCGCTAACTTCACCAAGAATAGTTTTTAAAATGTCTTTTCAAGGAAACCTGATTAGTTCTTTAGAAAATAGTTGGTTAAAATACTTGTGACTTGAACGCAAAATAATCAAGCCTTGATGTCCCAAAGCAAATATTAATTACTGTAGGCTCTCTCAAAGGAGAGGGCATCACTCTGGAGAAACAACCATCGTAAGTAGAAGCAGACCTTATTCATGGGTCAATCCATGATTACAGTACTGTTGACCCACTCGCCAAGACTATCTGCCTCACACTGACTAGCATGTTAGGTCACACCTTATAAAATAATGTTGTGCAGTAATTTGGCCATATGTACATGTGTAGGTGTTATAAGGTGGTTGAGTGCATTTATGAGAACACCTGCCACAAAGTAAGCCATATTTAGATTTTCAAACTATGGCTTTTAAACAAGCCCCGGCCCCCCCCATCCCAAGAGACAACGCATCCCTGAACACATCAAGCGAGGATGTGGGTAGGCGCCAAGGCACTGAACCTAAAAAAAAACAATGTGTCGCCGTTGGAGCCGACGACACAGCAACCGATGCAAAGCCCCCCGGAGGCCGAACTCAATGGTCGCGAGAGAGGCGGAAGGAACATCTCCGAAGGAACCAGAACAGCCGATGAAGCCACACCCGACCCGGCAGGGTAGACCATCATGTCAAAGGGCAGGTCCTCCCCCCCCCCCCCCCACAAACCCTCGAGCAACTGCCGTGTGACCTGGGAGCCCCTCAAAAACACAAAGACGGGAATTCAGCTGAAGCAGAGCCGCCGGAGGGAGAGGCAAGGAAGCGGTCCGAGTGTCCCACACAAGACTGAACCTGAGAGGGAAACAGATGGGCAGCCCGTCCTCCAAACAAAGATCCAAAAGTGATTCCATCCACCCGCTAAACCCCCTGTTTATGAATGAAAAGCGGTTTACACACGACTCACAACTGTTGACGTTCGAACATATCCGGAACAAGTGCTTCACTGACGAATTTTGTTCGAATCACAACACTATAAATGCTTCACCCACGTACTACAAATACAAATAATCGCCAACAGAACCTAAACACCTGACCTAACCTATCCTATGCCTATATATACACAATATGCCAATATAATATAATATTAATTTATACTTGAGAAAATTCCCGTTTTGAATGAACAGCATGTTAAAATTTATGAATGCGTCTGTGGGGTTGACCGCTGAATGTAATGGACTTGAGTCGAGGACGGGTTGAGATGGGACATCCGCCAGTTCACCAGGAACCCGAACCCGGTGAGCTGGGAAAGAACCAAATCCCTGGTGAGCAGACACGCGGACCGGCTGGGAACCCACACCAGCCAGTTGTCAAGGTAGGCCAGAACCTGAACACCTAACAGACGCAGGCGGGGTACCACAACCCGAGTAAGGTGTGTGAAAACGTGAAGCGCCGGATTCAAGCCGAATGGAAGGCAACGAAAGCAAAAACCCTGATGCCCCACAACAAAACCGAGCCAGTCGCTGAACCTCGGATGAATCGGGACGTGCTCGCTACCTTATCAATGTACCGGGGGCCTGGTCGGGCCCGTGTTACATTGGGTCAGTGGTTGCTGCCAGCTGTCTCGACTTCGCGTTGAGAGGCGAGTGCCGACCGCCTCCGGGGTAAGTCCCTCTTGTTATTGTCTGTTGGTAAGTAACTCCGGGGAGCTGAAGTGGCTCCCCAAGAAAATCAGTGTTGAATGTAATTAAACGCCATTTTCTGGGCGAGACCCGGAGGCTCCCCCAGAAACCCTCCCTCCCTCCGGTCGGTGGTTTTTCGCATGTTTTTTACATCCAGCCTCAGAACTTGCGTGTGGATAGCTGGCGTGAGGGTATGGGGCTCCTTCCTCCCCCTCCTGGGGAGGGGGGAAGCTGCACAGACAAGTGGCACGGTGACGTGGTGACATCATGCTTGTTTTCATTGGAGAGTTCTGTCCACTAGTTCAGTTCTCAGTAGCAATTTCTTGACTAGAATAGGCTTTTTTTTTTTTAGGACGCTTACCTTTCTGGGTGCCTGACCTGGCAGGTCAGACATAGCAGACATCCATGGCAGACATAGAATGCCTCCAACCATAAGGGGGCTTCTATAGGCCATTTCTCCTCGTGCCTCTCTGAGAGGGCCAGGTTCTGGCTTGTGGTCCCCAGTAGGCCTAAAACTCCATTCACATTGACTGATGCCAAATTCTAATATATCCATATCAGCCTAGATAGCTCCAGGGAGACTCCGGGTCTCACCCAGAAAATGGCGTCTCATTACATTCAACGCCGGTTCTTTCTCATTATGACCTCTGCACTATGAGTGGTTAGTTTTGACCTGGCTAGAGGCATAGCCTACATATTTATAAAACTAAATATATAAAATACAATATTTTGATTTTAATATAATCTTATTGTATTTCTAAATAATACACACAATTCATGGATGTATGGAAGTATAATAAAGATATATTACATTTGTATCAAACTACACCACCTATTTTATTCAAACACCATGATGATAATATTTTTTTTATAAATGTCCTAAACTTGTCAAATCTAGATCAGAAAAACCTTAATGAATTGCAGTGAACAAATAATTTGAAAGACCAGGCTTTCTCAAGAAAGGCCAGGCTTTATCGAGAAAGACCAAGCTTTCTTGAGAAAGCTTTATCAAGAAAGACCAGGATTCCCCAAGGAAGACCAGGTTTTATTAGGAAAGACAAGGCTTCCTCAAGAAAAACAAGGCTTCCTCAAGAAAGACTAGGCTTCCTCAAGAAAGACTAGGCTTCCTCAAGAAAGACCAGGCTTCCTCAAGAAAGACCAGGCTTCCTCAAGAAAGACCAGGCTTCCTCAAGAAAGACCAGGCTTCCTCAAGAAAGACCAGGCTTCCTCAAGAAAGACCAGGCTTCCTCAAGAAAGACCAGGCTTCCTCAAGAAAGACCAGGCTTCCTCAAGAAAGACCAGGCTTCCTCAAGAAAGACCAGGCTTCCTCAAGAAAGACCAGGCTTCCTCAAGAAAGACCAGGCTTCCTCAAGAAAGACCAGGCTTCCTCAAGAAAGACCAGGCTTCCTCAAGAAAGACCAGGCTTCCTCAAGAAAGACCAGGCTTCCTCAAGAATTACCAGGCTTCTCAAGAAAGACCAAGCTTCCTCAGGAAATGCCAAGCCTCAATAAGAAAGACCAGGATTTCTTAAGAAATACTAGGCTTCAAGAAAGACCAGACTTCCATAGGAAAAACTAAGCCTCCTTAAGAAAGAAAAGGCTTCCTCAAGAAAGATCAAATTTCATCAAGAAAAACCAGGTTTCACAAAGAAAGACAAGGCTTCCCTAAGGAACACCAGGCTTCCTCAACAAAGACCAGGTATCCATAAATATGACCAGGCATCAAGAAAGACCCAGCTTCTTCAAGGAAAGTTGTGGAGAAACTTGAGAAAATGGTTTATTTAGTTTGATCAGTTACTCATCTAACAGCGAGTATAACATGCAAATTAAAATTGCAAATACAGTATCTTGTATGATTACAGAAATAAATCAGATTTCAAGACATTAAAATTAACCTTAGCAAAAATATAAAACAGCTACTGCTATCACAACACATAAAGAGCACTACGGTACACTGACTCATTTCATTAACATTTGTTATTTTTGTACTGTTTGAATAGTTATGTTCGCAACACTTGTTCAACGGTCTCATAGCTCATGTCACTATTTTTTACATAGATATTTGTTCAGTTTCCAGCTTGTTGTCTTCATCTACTTTACTGGACAGCCAAAATAAAAATTGTATAACACCATGATGCACCTCCACTCACACTTACAATCTTTGAATAAAACTACAACATATGGTGAACAGAATAAGATGAATTTAAAATTTATTATTTTCAAAGAAATTCCTAAGCCTTTTAGTAAGAAATGCCACCAAACTGGAGAAATACTCTAGCATGATAAAGTTCATTATAAATGGCAAACAACATAGGTTTAATGATACGTGACATCTCTCGTATCTTAAATCAATAAACAGACAACTGAAAAAGAATATCTGCCAAAAACTCGAACATAACGGAAACTCAAGCCTAACAGATCAGTACAACACACACACATGGAAATTCTGTGAATATTGGCCTGAGTCTATAAACAATTGTTGGGAAAACAGTAGCTACATCATCTGCCAGTCAGCACGATGGAAAAATTCATGGGTCAGCAGTAACAACTAATTTCGATCAAAGAATAAAACCAGCTTTGAATGTAATGAAACGCCAATATTTGAGTGAACCCCGGTGGCTCTGTTAAGATACTATCACTAATAGTGTACCATCTCCTAGGTCGCATCAGCTGCTGACTTCTTTAAGTAGGGTTTTCTTACCCCTTCCTCCCTACCTGTGTTTGTTGGTATGATTGTGGCTCCCCTCTTCCCTGAGTTTGCCTCTAGGTACCCCTTATAGACCCGTATTCAAGAAGGATAATCCTTCTAGCTCCTTGGTGACCAGTGAAGCTTTGGTTTTCAGTGCTTATAGCCAGGTATCCAAACCTGGGTATTTTTCTGTGGATCTACCTCTTCCAGCAGATCCACATGGCAATGCACTTTGCTGCTGTGAATTTATCCTCTGCTCTACATGTCTGGACTTTGATGAATTTCTGTCGCAGTTTGTATGGTGTGTGGGTGGTGGGTTTGTTGGTCTCCCACCCATGTCTTTCTTTGCAGTAACAGTATGAAGTGGCCTGGCTTTCTTCTCCCAGCTGTCCCTTTGTCACTTCTCATCTATTTTGGATTGCTCTGCTCTTTCCTTTTTGTCTTGGTTGTTTCTTGGTTGGCATCTTATACCAAATACTGTCGCCTCTTATTGTTCGGCTATCGTGGAGTAGGTGTTGCTCGTACTCAGTGTCGACACCTCCGTGGCACTGTTCCCTAAGTTGTCTTGTGTAATTGTCCACCTCTGGCCTTCTCATGCTCTTCCTTAGCCATCCTGGTCTTGTGACCATGATTGGGCTTTTCTTTTCACACTTCGATTTACAGTTTCCCCTTCGGCTTATGAATTTTTACTAAGGTGGTTTTCTTGTTGGCCCTCACCAGTGGCTGTCAGGTCAGGGAGCTTCAGGCTTTTCTCCAGAGGTTCTGGAGAAAAGTTTTGTTCTTTTGGGCCTGGTGGGTGCTTTGTTCATTTGCAGCCCTTTTTTTTCCAGTGAAAAATTAGTCTGTGGGCTAATTTGGGGACTTTTGGTAACTGAAGCTTGGTTTGTTTAGCCGGATGGCATCATTTGTTGTGTCCCATGAGAAATTCTTTACCACTACTTGTGTGCCACAAGTTCTGTCTCTGTGGATGCCTCATTGGTTGATCCCGTTTCCTTGGTTCCCTGTTCCAAGGTTCGCATTTCCCATGTTGTCCACAGTTTCATCAAGCCTAGCCAGCCTGTGGTCTACTCTTAGGCCCATGATGTTCGTAAATATGTGACTTTGGTTGCCATCTTCTATAATGTGTCCTGGGCTGATACTCGGACTGCAGGGGTTTTGGCGTTCTAACAAGATGCTGGCAACCTGGTACGGCATTTGGGAAATGTTCCTGGGCACAGTCGTGTGTGTGGCTTTGGGCCGTGTTGACTGGCCTGGTTTCTCTTCTTCATCTTAAGAACTTACTGACTCTCTTTCCTGATAAGTCCCTTTATGTTCACTGTGGTTAGATTAGCTTCAGGACCCACAGTGGGCTCCCTCTAGGAACTCAGTGTTAAATGTAATGAAAAGCCAATTTCTGTTGAAGTCCTGATGGCTGCCAGCTTACCTCCTGCCTTCCTGGATCGTCCGTTCATCATGGGATTGTTCGTCAAGTCCAGAACTGGCTTGGGTAGCTGGCTGGGCTGCCTGGTGGTGGTAATCAGTACTAACGAGTTTTGATCTCGTTTCAGTGAATCTCTTGCTCTGTACGACTCATTTGTGGTAGACGTTTGGCAGTTTTCAAAGCGTTGTTTTCTGTGAACACTCCTGTTTTCTGTAAAGCTGTGTTGAGGCTTTTTCTGATGAGGTGACAGACAGTTACCTGCTCTCTGTGTCTCTGAGAAGTGGGGCCAGGTTCTGGTTCTGGTCCCTGGTAGGCCAAAAAAACTATCTGTGACTGATGTGATCTTTTAGTAAGAAGGAATTTCAGGAAGACAGCTTCAGGGAGCCAATGGGGCTTCTCTAAAAATTGGCATTTCATTACATTCGATGCCGAGTTTCTTCACAAGATGGACAACTCGACAAACATTAAATGTGACCACAGTTCACACGAGATATGGGACGCACTTATGATTACTGAAGCAATCGATGACCTTCCTCACAGTTAATACTTGTGTTAAACAGAATCTTTCACTAGAATTTTGAGCTGCACCTATTCCCCCTCAAAATATTACAGGTATTTATTCCTGATAAGTCTTTCTAGTTATGACAAGTGAAAGTTATAAATTGTTTCACTACTGTTTTATATTATAATTTATGTATTACCCAACTAATGTAGTGAAGATATGAATTAATGTGTATTGTTGCTGTATTTCACTCGTAATTACAGTGGAACCTCGATTCCGTGAATCTCCAGTAGGAACACACTTTTCCAGGCCGGAAAAGCCTCACCCGATTCCACAAACTCTTGTTTGCTGAAGCGGGAGATTTGTGGATTTGCTTTTAGGATGTTGGGACAGAGTTCACATACTGGTGGAAAACTTGCCCATCATACCATTGGTTAAAAATTAAAGATTTCCTTAATGAAATCAGCCCATAGAGCATAGAAAATACTAGAGAATGAATGGCAACGCTGTTAGTATGGCTTCAATTATGTTTCTAATGATTTTTGTAGATGGCTGCAACATTAGAAGAAAGAGTTGGGGTCTTGTGAAAGCCATTGAGCACATTTAAAACCAAATTCTATGGTTCGTTTTACTTTTGACATTTCCCGGTTTTCATTTATAAATATGGGCCCGTTTTTCACTGAAAAGAGGGTTTTGAGGCAAGGGCATGGGAAGTATACTAAATGGGGCTGAAATCTCTTTATATATAGGTTTCTCTTGGTAGCTGCCCTTCATATGACAGGTTGAAATTAAAATTTCACCCACTGAAATCAACCTATAGAGCATTGGAAACATTAGAATATGATTGGTAACACTGTTAATGTGTCTCCAATCATTATTTTAATTATTTTTGTAAATGGGTGCAACATATGAAGAAAGAGTTGGGGCCTTAGGAATGCCAGTGAGCACATTTAAAACAAAATTTTATGATATCTTTTACTTTTGAGATTTCCCTGTTAGTGTTTGCAAATAATGGCCTCCTGGAGGAATCTCTGGTTGCAACGAATCCCTCATTGCAATGAACTGGGGTTGGTCCAAAATAGTTTGTTGAATCGAGGGTGCACTGTAATTTGACATATGCCTATTTACTCAGAATATTTTCTCAAAACAAATTTTGAAAGATTTTATTTGCTCCATTTGCATACCCACAGAATTAACAGTATGAGATGAGGATGGTCAAATATAATACTTGTAAGGTAACACCTGAACACTGCACACAATCACTACTGTCAAACACATAACTTGTCATGTAAGATACCTCTCAACCAACTAATGTATTAAAACATAAATGTACACAAAGTTAAAAGATTTCTGCTACTCCACCCATGGCCTCACTCACTCACACACACACCACCCATGGCCACACTGTCAGTATATACAAAAACACGCAAGCATATCTTAATTTTACTTTTAGTTAATGATCAAAGTCATATGTGTTGAGTGACTGCTTTACACATATCACTTTCTAACAGAGGCATCACAATCCTGTTCAGATATAGCTTCTATTAAGTTTACTACCTCAGCTAACAAGCTATTTAGTAAAAAATACCTTATACTGTATTAGCATTATCTGCAGCCTGAATCACTGTGCAATACAGATTTCTGAAAGAACTTCTTAAGGCCCCCAAGTATTTTATTCATTTTAAACACCCTGTATTCACAATATTTCAAATGGTAGCATTGTAGTTTGAAAATTCATCTACTGTACACTGATATAAAGTTGACAACACTCGAGTAAGTCAAATGGAGCTCTGATACGTAACAATCAGCCTTCATGCAGCTTTTGACTTAACAAGACTGAGGTCATTGAGGGAGTTAAGGAGAGCCTGCACGTCACTCTCCACTTGCTGGCGGGAATCCGAGAGTGATAGCTGACTAGTGAATGAAGTGAGCAATTCTGCCTCCTCTACACTCCCAGAGCACTCCAGGAATGTCTGCATCATTTCGATAACCTGAAAATATGATTAGTATGATCTTAAAACCAAGATAAATATTACAGAATCCTGCATCACATTATTGCATCATACATGGAAGGTTTCAATACACTAGACAATTATGTGTAGCAAACTCAGCTTCAAACTCTTAAAAAAAAAATGAATGTAATGAAACACCATTTTCTGGGTGAGACGGAGCTATCTAGGCTGTTATGGATATATTAGATTTCTGACATCAGTCAATATACATGGAGTTCTAGGCCTACCAGAGACGAGCAAGAACCTGGCCCCCTCAGAGAGGCACGAGGAGCAATGGCCTATAGAAACCCCTGTGTAGTTGGAAGCATTTTATGTCTGCAATCGACTGGGTTAGGCACCCAGAAAGGTAAGCACCACAAAACAAACCTCTATTCTGGTGAAAACACTGCTACAAAGAGCCGAACGAGTGGACAGAACTCCTCAATGAAAACAAGCAAACTAATATGATGTCACCATGTTGGCATGCCACTGTCTATGCAACCTCCTCCCCCTCCCTGGGAGGGGGATGGGGAGCCCCAGACCTTCCCACTGACAACCCATCCTTCAGTTCTTAAGGTTGGATATCAAAAACGCGAAAAACTGCCGACTGGAGAGAGGGAGGGTTTCCGGAGAACCTCCGGGTTTCGCCCAGAAAATGGTGTTTCATTACATTCAATGCTGGTTTTCTGGGGAGAGACCTGTCGGCTTCCTGGAGCTAACTACCCCAAGACAAAAAGTTGGAGGTAATGGCTCAATTGTCTCACTGCTGATGTGGATATTGCTGGAAGTTATGGCTCAATTGTCTCCACTGCTGATGTGGAAATTGCTGGAAGTAATGACTCAATTGTATCCACTGCTGATGTGGAAGGAGTGAGCCTTGGAGAAGGCTAAGCTACACCCAAAGCCAATTTTAACTTAGATTTCGAAGCTCGGATGTCACAGTGGCCAGATCAAGCAGGAAGGGATATAATAGGAATGTCGAACCATCTCAGACATACAGTCCGTGGATGGAGCCAAAGAGGCGAACATAAAATCAGTAGAATTCACCAGCCGCTTTAACTCCAAATCCCAAAACCAAAAAAGGAACGATTCTAGGACAACCACTCGAGCACCAAATCACACATACAACCCCGCTCCTGTGCCAGTTAAGTCCACTATGGGCTCACCATAGCCCATACTTCTTGGAACTTTTTGTTCCAAGTAGCTGAATCTAAAATAACAACCACCACCAAATCACCGAAAACAAAAGTGAGTAAACAAACCCGAAGTCTCTGCTGCCTGTTAAAATAAAGACCCAATAAACCCAAACATTACAGGCAAAGGCACAGCAAGTAATACATACCCCACTCAATAGACGTCATAGCAGAGACAGTACAAATGACTGTTGGCATGTAGCAAAACCGATGAACATCCCTCAAACAGGAAAGAAGCAAGTGCGGGCTCGGTGAGCTGATCAATGATGATCCACATCAAAGACTAGCAAGGCTTACTAGGACCCCTGAAAGTAAAGACCAAGAAGGACACCCATGCACTAGGGATGCTCGCCAAAAGGAACTAGCACTGAATGCAGCCCTTAGAAAACACTTGGCCAAGAGTGTTTTCCCACGTAAGAAAAGCAGCAAGACGATGTTTAAAATGTATGAGATACTGTACAAGTTATCTATACTCTACTTTGCTAAAACAAAGTATTTGTTCAAATATTAAAGTCAGAAAACTAAATCCATGAAATATAAACTGAAAGTAGCATTTAATACAAACCTGATAAACTTGTTTCTTGATTTCTTGAGAAGAGGAGTTATTATCTCTCTGAAGAAGCTTAAGTTTGGAGCGTGCCAAGTGCAGCGGCGAATAACCCTGATTGTCCGTCTGCCTTACATTCGTACCTGTCCATATTACACAAACTGTTTTACTTTCAACGACAAAGTAATTGTTAGGGCAAGTGCTTGACCAGTATGATTATCTGGCACTTGGACGGCACATGAGGGTAAGGAGCTAAAAATGCAAGTACTGTACAGTGTAGAAATGTTGACCCTCCACTTTAACATTAAGTTAAAAGTATTAAAGATACTTTGATACCCTAGTGTGTCCAAAACTACTTAAATACTCTGGCATCTTATAAGTTAAACATCAAACTCTTATAACTCACAATCCAGTGATAGAATGCACCCTAAACCAGGCATTCTAATTTGCTGGAATTTACTCATTTTCCTCCACCTCTTTTTTTTCATATTTCCTTTTTTTATATTTTTAACTTCGCAGTCACAATACATTGTGTAAAGTAAATCTTTACAATTGCTAATTTTGAAGGTGAGTGTAACCATTGCACTTTCTTTCCTCATAGAGGCATCTTGGAATGCAGCAGACATTGAGAATGTTTAAAAGGTTCCATGATGCAAGATTGTGATTCAAAACATGTGTAACACATGAAAACCCCATACCAACTCATGTTTAGTGAACCATGTAATTGTTGTGGCAAAATTGTATATAAAATACCTACTCTTATAAAGTTAAAAGTTTTTTTGTTTTTAGGTGAACATGAACAAGTAAATTAAAGGGTCAATTTTGAGTGGAGACATCAAATATAACCAAAAATTTTGTGAACTGACCTGATTTCAGGAGCAGAGTGACTGTTGGAATGTGTGAAGTACAAGCTGCTAAATGAAGGGCGGTGTTGCCTATAGCATCTCGTTGATTGGGATCCGCTCCATATTGAAGCAGCAGTCTATAATTACAGGTTACATACCGAATTTATATAAACAGTGACAATAAAATATTTAGCCTACACAATAATGTATGGAGTCTTTTTAAGTATTTCATTATCTATTTTAACATTAGTTTTACAGTCTTGATGCTGAAAAGGGATTTATATAAAAAACCAGCGTTGAATGTAATGAAACACCATTTTCTGGGTGAACCCCGGAGGCTCCCAGGAGCTATCGGGCTAATATGCAATTCACTAGACCGGGGCATTAGTCATAGGAGTTCAGCCTACCGGGGACCACAAGCCAGAACCTGGCCCCCCCTCAGAGAGGCACAGGGAGCAATGGCCCTGGAAAATCCCCCCATGGTTGGGAGTTTTCCTTATCTGCCATTGACCGTGGTTAGGGACCCAGAAGGTAAGCATAACAAAACAGACCCCACATGGTAAGAAAATTGCAACCAAAAACCAAACAGAGAGGTAGAACTCACTCTAATCCCAAGGAAACAAGCAAATGTCACACCCCACCACCACAGTGCTCATCCAGAAGCCCCCCACCTGGTGGGGGAGGGGAAGCCCCTGACCACTCCCGCGCCAGCGACCCAGCCATTCCAATTCGGAGGCTAAGTATCAAAACAAAGCAAAAACCGCCAACTGGAGGGAAAGAGGGTGCCAGGGAGCTTCCGGGATTCACCCAGAAAATGGCGTTTCATTACATTCAATGATGGTTTTCTGTGGGGAGTCTCTTTGGCTCCCTGGAGATACATAACCAAAGATAAGAAAGAGAGGCACTTACCCAGGAGGCAGCTGCCACAACCTGAGGGCACCAAAGCCCAGTCAAGATCGAACGAGGCCAAAGCATCTCGAGGGCACCAAAGCCCAGACAGGATCGAATGGGGCCCAAGTGCCCCGAGGGGCCAGTCAGCATCAAACGGGGCCCAAGCGCCAGGCCGACTCCTGCCCAGCCCCGGAAGCCTCAAATCCAGGCTCTGGGGCAGAGCTGTCCCTTCATGCCCTCCACCCTTGAAGAAAAGCCAGTGTCCAAGGGAACGGCATCAAAGAAAGGGGCCGCTGGTAAGACCCAGAAGCCTCGGCGGGAGGCTCAGGCTCAATGGCCTCCATCCTTGCATCAAATGGGGCAGCCCCTGGAGCTGCCAGTCTCTCATCCCCAACTAAACCCCGCCTTCACTCCGAAACCCTCAGACGTTTGGGACCCGGCAGAATGTGAAGGGAGGAGCAGAGCAAACCACACCAACAGGGAAAGGACTCGGGCACTGAACCAAGGTTGAAGCAACCAACGCCCCCACGTCTGGGACCCTAAAAAACAGAACGGGGCAGCCCAGGGGCATTCGAGTGGGCAACCAGCCCAGCACATTGCAACAACCTAAACCTAGCATGCAACACAACAGCCACTCAACCCCTAATATCTCCTGGAGAACAATGGGTAAATTGGATAATGAGCGGGGAACAAGTCTCGCACGATTCCGGGTCGAAGGTGTCATAGACCCAACAAGCAGCATGAAGGAGGCAAAACAGATGATCGTCACCCTGAGACAAAGACAACGAACAACCCTTAAACTCGTATAAGGCGAGATGGAACTCTGAAGACATATCTAAGGTTATCTGAGCCCCGACGGGGGTTTCTAGGGCCCGAAAGGGGAGGTGGTCCTTCAGGAAGCCCAGACACTGGTGCTGCAAAGTCGGTTAAACCCCGCCTATTTACCAGGCAAACTGACTCCTGTGAAGGGAGCAACCTTGGGAGCCAAGTGGAGGACTACTACTGGAACCTAGGCTGTTCATGGAGGCCAGAGAGAGACACGACCTCCGCTAGTATATGAGCTGCACAGCACCGTGCACCCCCAACCATCAACAAACGCCCCCTACCCAAGGCCAAACGAAAGCACCAAGACCACCGCTGACCCCAAGGGCTACCTTACCTTGCGGTTACCTTGAAGTGATTTCGGGGCTTAGCGACCCCCGGCCCAGTTGTCAACCAGGCCCCCTCGTTGCTGGACTGGTCAACCAGGATGTTGGACCCGGCTGCTCGCAGCCTCACATATGAGTCGCAGCCTGGTTGAACAGGTATCCTTTGGGGAGGTGTTTGTCAAGTTCTCTCTTGAACACTGTGAGGGGTTGGCCAATTATGCCCTTTGTGTAGTGGAAGCGTGTTGAACAGTCTTGGACCTTTGATGTTGATAGTTCTCTCTCAGGATACCTGTTGCACCTCTGCTTTTCAACAGGGGGGGTATTCTGCACATCCTGCCATGCTCATGTGATGTTATTTCTGTGTGCAGGTATGGGATCAGCCCCTTTACTATTTTCCATGCATAAATTATTATGTATCTTTCCCGCCTGCACTCAAGAGAATACAGATTTAGGCTCTTTAGTCAGTCCCAATAGTTTAGATGTTTTATTGAGTGAATTCTAGCAGTAAAGGATCTCTGCATGCTCTCCAGGTCAGCAATTTCTCCAGCTTTGAAAGGGGCTGTTATTGTGCAGCAATATTCCACTCTAGCGAGCACTAGCGTTTTGAAAAGTATCATCATCGGTATAACATCTCTAGTGTGAAAGGTTCTTGTTATCCAACCTGTCATTTTTCTTGCAGGTGTGACATCTACTTTATTGTGTTCTTTAAATGCACATAATATCAGGGCGAGGCCGATGTCAAATGACAGCAACCCCTACGAGCGTGAGAACCCGAAGGTCCCAGGGAAGATAACCCCAAGACCCTAGGGAAGTACTTACAGGGCACCTAGGGAAGATAACCCTAAGCGCATACAACCCAAAGTACCAGTACTCCTAGCCACAGCCCAACACACTGCAGGTACAACTACCAGGGTAATATCCTGACAGGAAATTGAGGCTAGAGGTGATGTCAGCCCCAGCCGGCTTCAGTCGACAAACTGGTGAGCAGATGGCAGGCTCAGGTGGGCGGGGCCTCCCTCTCCCCCTCCCAGAGGGGGGAGGGGGAAGGGAAGGGAACTATCAGGAGAGCGCGCCAAGCCATTACGACTATATAGCACTGGGAAGGGGTCAGGATTAGGATTTGGGATGGGCTGGGGAAAAGGAATGGTGCCCAACCACTTGGACGGTCGGGGATTGAACGCCGACCTGCATGAAGCGAGACCGTCGCTCTACCGTCCAGCCCAAGTGTCAGTTTTATGACAATTTGCTTGTTACCTTGTTTTTCTTGGGGGAAGTTCTTGGGCTCTGTTCGGTCTTGGGTTGCAATTTTCTACCAGTTGGGGTTTGTTTTGGGGTGCCTACCTTTCTGGGTGCCTAACCCCGGTCAATGGCAGACACGAATATACTCGCAATGAGTGAAGTTTTCATAGGCCATTGCTTTCTTCACCTCTCTGAGGGAACCAGGTTCTGTCTCATAGTTCCCGGTAGGCAGAACTCCATATGACTGAAGCCCCAGACTAATATGGATAATGTCAGTCGGATAGCCCCAGGCAGCCGACGGGGATCTCCACAGAAAGAAGGGTAAACAGTTGGAATAAGTTACATGAGTAGGTGGTGGATGCCAAAACCATAAGTAGTTTCAAAGCATCATATGACAACATTTCTGATACTTACAATTGCATTTTTAAACTAATAATACACATTTCACTCAAATGCACAGTAATGTGGTTCATAGATTCCTTCCACTCTAGTTATGCAAACTGAATTTCACACAAGGGTGACTGTAACCCTGAAGTTTATGATTATGATGTAGAGAATTGAACCTATGACTAGAATTACCCAGGATCACATTGATACACAAGTGCTTTAGTTCTCAAGGTTCTGCATATCTTCAAGAAAACTACTCACAAATACCATAAGACTTACCTTGCAGTATCTGTGTAGCCTTTAGAAGCAGCAATATGCAAGGGAGATCTCTCCTTGTCATCAGTGACCTTAGGGTTCACACCTTCTCTAAGAAGCTGTTCAACCGTCTCAACATTATTTAAGCTAACAGCTATTCGAAGTTTCCTTTCTTCTGAAAGTAGGCATTTCAAAATAACGTACATAACTTAAAAGGCTTTTCAAAATTTTTATCAATTTTTAAAATACAATTTTATTAAAATACATAAATAGTAAGCAATTCAAAATGGTGGTGGTGGTGGTGGTGAATGTGGAAAGGGGTTAGTGCTCTGCTTTCTCTCCATCTCACACTCCATTGTAAGAAAATACCATTCAATACATTAAAGTCTCTGACCACTTACTTGCTTTTGGGGAGAGGACCTGATATTGTTGGTGTTGCCTCATTCTCTGCCGAAGAGAACGTAACTTCTTCTGAAGAACATTGTTTTCATATGGAACTACTGAATAACCTTGAGCTGATTTTGCAAGATATGAAAATGGAATGATTAGTAATGTGGTGTTCCACAAGTTCCAAATGCAAATTTGAATTCTGTAAAAGAAAAACAACTAATGGTTCATTAGAAAAATTCTACACTTCCTATCATGATATGCATAAATCACAGTTTTTTCAATGTATTTCAGAGCTCTATGAACATGTAATCAATAGCATATATAATCAATAACATACTATGTAGCCTTCAGCTTAAGATATCTTGCAACACTGAAAATGATTTTCACATTGCATAAAATACTTTCTTCAGTTTGATAAAATAATGATTACACAATCAAGTGCAAATTAGTTTTAATGTTTAATGACACCTATAATGGTCTTTTCTTGAACCTAATATTTTTTAATATACTGTAAATGTAGAATTAAAAAAAATGGCATTTTATGTAATGAAATGCCAGTTTCTAGGTGAGCCCCAGAGGCTTCCTGAAGCTATCTTACTGATCAAGAGCCATTCTTGATCATATTTGATCTTGATCCCGTCCTTTGGCGGGACCAAAGAGCCAGAGTTCAACCCCCGCAGTTACAGTTCTTTGTAAGCCTACTGTGGACCATGAGTGGGAACCTTGGCCCCTCTCACAGAGGCACAGGGAGTAATGGCTCCTAAACACTTTACATTTAAAGTACATTATCTTGCCATATACTGTACCAGGGAAGGCACCCAGAAAGGCAGGTGAATCAAAACTACTGCCTGGTTGTAACATGTGACCTACAAGTACATCTTCTTAAGTGCAAAAAAAAAACAGCGTTGAATGTAATGAAGCGCCATTTTCTAGGTGAGACCCAGAGGCTCCCCGGAGCTATCCAGGCTGATACTTTGGCATCAGTCAGTGTCGTCTGGTCAGTGCAATGATCGCTCTGCTCATCGGCTGGCTTCTTGTAAGGGACGCCAGCCCTTTCATGGTTCGCCCTGTTGACGGGGCAATGAGGGGGTGGCTCACTCTGTTTGCTTGTGCCTGGTCCCATGATTCGTGGGCACTTTGGATTGTTTCCTCTGGCCTGTGGTGGCGTTGGGCAGCTCCTCCTCTTTCAGGGGTTCGGGGCTGGCGGGAGCAGGCTTCTTTCCCTGTGCTCTGTCGGGTCATTTTGGAGTGGGTAAGCTTGGGTGGGTATGTGCGCTTTTTGTATGCCCGTTTTCATATTTTTCGGTTCTCGTACTCAATTTCTTTGAAAAATTTGATTCAGTACTAGTTGTTTGCCTCGGTTTTCGGCGTTTGTTTATACTGTACACGTATGGGGTCCACCGAGCATGTGGCGCTTCAGTTTACCAGTGTCTCCCATCTAGTGATGATTGCATTTGAATTCTTTGTGAAGACTTTCATTATTTTTGTGCTTTTTTGGTTTCTGAACATAAAAGTTCTTATTATATATCATGCCATGGGTTCCAAGAAAGTCAGTGGTAATGTTCAACCTAACAAAATAGTTGTGAGGATGACAATAGAGGAAAAATAAGAGATCATTCATAGTGAGATCATTCATCATTCCACATGACGAGCTTGGTGCCAGAGCGGATTAAACTCGTTAATTGAGGTGCCACTGTGTATGTGTGTGTGTGTGTGTGTGTGTGTGTGTATATATATATATATATATATATATATATATATATATATATATATATATATATATATATATATATATATATATATATATATATAATATATATATATATACAGTATATATATATAATTAGTATATTTTGGTAGCAGTCTTTCCTGTAGACATATATTATTAAATATGACCGAAAAAGTAAGATTAATAATTCTAACACGAATTTTCTCGATCTTTCGTACACTTCTTTTCACTGTTGGAGGTAATTCAAAAATCAATTCTCCAAAATTCATTTTTATTTCTAGTCTGACGCGACACTTGAGCGCGTTTCGTAAAACTTATTACATTTTCAAAGACTTTAGTTTACACATACACAACTGAATAGAACTTACACATCTCCGATTTGTTTATACACTATCTATATTTGAGTGAGGTGGATGGGGTGAGGTGGCATTAATAGGGTATTAATTTCATCAACACAAGACAGAACACGAAACAATGGTATTGAATGGAAGTGATTATAGAAAGCCTATTGGTCCATATTTCTTAATGCTTCTATATTGGAGCGGAGTCTTGAGGTGGGTAGAATATAGTTGTGCACAATTATATTCTACCCACCTCAAGACTCCACTCCAATATAGAAGCATCAAGAAATATGGACCAATAGGCTTTCTACAATCACTTCCATTCAATACCATTGTTTCGTGTTCTGTCTTGTGTTGATGAAATTAATACCCTATTAATGCCACCTCACCCCATCCACCTCACTCAAATATAGATATAAACAAATTGGAGATGTGTAAGTTCTATTCAGTTGTGTATGTGTAAACTAAAGTCTTTGAAAATGTAATAAGTTTTACGAAATGCGCTCAAGTGTCGCGTCAGACTAGAAATAAAAATGAATTTTGGAGAATTGATTTTTGAATTACCACCAACAGTGAAAAGAAATGTACGAAAGATCGAGAAAATTCGTGTTAGAATTATTAATCTTACTTTTTCGGTCATATATGGGGTCATATATGTCCTTCGGTCATATATGTCCTGGGGACCATTCAGGCTTGTTCGCATATATATATATATTGTCCCTGTATGCGAGGTTTTCGGAAGGCGAGGTATATATATAGTTTGGATACGCGTATACCTAGCGCGTTCGTCGCCCCTCCGCCCCTCATATTATATATATATATCAATTCTTCTATATATATATGTACACGTGTTGTTGAACTTTGTAGGCAGTACAACAAAGCCACATCAACAATATGCACTATACTTAGGAAGAAAAATAAGATTATGGGTGCTAAAGTGGCAAAAGGAGTAAGAACATTAACGGCACAAAGACCACAAATACTTGAAGAAGTGGAAAAGTTGTTATTAATTTGGATACACGACAAGGAGTTGAGGGGTGATAGTGTTTCGGAGGCCATTATTTGTGAGAAAGCCAGGGTGTTGCACGAAGACCTTCTAAAGAATACCCCTGCAACGAGTGATGCAGATAAGAAAGAGTTTAAGGCAAGCAGGGGCTGGTTTGAAAAATTTAGAAAGAGAAGTGGTATCCATAGTGTTACAAGGCATGGGGTTATGTGATGTGATTATGGAAGGGGACTCCCCTTCCAAACAGTAACTCCTCTCCTCCTCCCCATCTTCCATACGCCTACAGCACTCGACAGCAAGGTAAGTAATAACTGGAACACAGTTTTGTAGGTTTATTTCCCTTTATATGGGGAAATATATATAGGCGATATATATATATATATATATATATATATATATATATATATATATATATATATATATATATATATATATATATATATATATATATATACATACACGCAGTGGAATGGTTAAAGTGAATTAGAGTGTACAGTATTTAAACTGAACCAAACTAATGCAATACTTACAGTAAATTTCATAGCCATGACTAAGATACATGGAGGGTGAGACATTGGCAAAGGTGAGTCCTGGTGGAGGTTCCAGGTCAAAAGTTGTGCCATCTTCTTCTATGTTTCCTCCTTCAGAGAGAGGAAAGTGTAGCTGCAGTCTACTACCTTCAGGAACATTCATTTTGGCCTGTATGAAAACCTTAATTTATTTTATTCCATAGTCAAAGCTTAGGTGATCCTATACTAAATATATAAAATTATCTTTATTACTAAATTTATATACACACAACAAAAAGGGAGACAGGAGATCTGTCTCCTTATACCATAAAAAAGCAATTACAAGAAACAATAGGAAAAAAACCCTGAGAGCAAACATAATCCCAGCACTAACTCCAGAAGCTTATATCAACAGGATTTCTGTTTTACTTAGGTGGAGTGTGAGTATTTATGACTCGTATGGTCGCTTCAGTAAGATTTTGCCCCGTGTGTTTAACAACAACTTCTGCTCTGTTGAGTCTAACTTGAAATCTTATTGAGTTTGTAACTGTGCACTGTGTTAGATAATGTTCCATTGGTCTGCCGGGCATTTCTCCACAGTGCTGACATTTCCTCTCATCTTTTGGAACCTGTAAGCCTATTTCCCATGCACATGGGTATCCAAGCCTCATGCAATGTAAGTGTACTTCTGTTCTTCTACTGCTCCCTTTCATCAAAGTAAGTGGTTCGTAGTTGGTTGAATTCTTGTACCAACCTGCAGATACTGATGTTGCAATTACTGTGTTTTGGTCACTGTACATCTTCTGCAGTGCTCTATTTCTAATTACTTTCTTAATCTGTGATAGACTCTGTGGTATATAAATATCTACATTTCTTCTCTTAGTTGCAAGTTTTGCAACTTCGTCTGCAATGTCACTTCCTATTATTCCCACATGACTTGGCACCCAGGGGGGTGCCAAGTGCCCCCCAAGTGCTCAACTGTCAGGGGGGCCTGACAGCTGAGTGGACAGTGCTCGGGATTCATAGTCCTGAGGTTCCGGGTTCGATCCCTGGTGGAGGCAGAAACAAGTGGGCAGAGTTTCTTTCACCCTGATGCCCTGTTTGCCTAGCAGTAAATACGTACCTAGGAGTTAGACAGCTGCTATGGGGATGTGTAACAAAAAGGAGGCCTGGTTGAGGACTGGGCCGCGGGGACGCTAAGCCCCGAAATCATCTCAAGATAACCCAGTTGATAAGTACCCGACGGCCTTGACATTTGAGTGTTTGCATTAATGATATAACATTTGTTATCAGATGGATGTTGTCATGTATGTGTTCTTGTTGCAAGGTTTCAATGGCTGTTCTCGAATCTGTATGTATGATAACATGTTGTCAGTGTTCAGCAAGAGCAGGTTCCAAAGCCTTTTGAATGGCTAGCATCTCTCTTTGTAAAGTTCAGCACCCGTTTGAGAGTCTCCAACTATTTACAGAGTTTCCGGCCTCCATCCAACCACCCCCCCTATCCATCTATCCAGTCCCCCCCCCCACCATCCCTCCTGCTCTCCCCACCATCCCTCCAGTTTTCACCATCATCCATCCATTCCCCTCACCATCCATCCAGTCCCCTCCATTCATCTATCCAGTCCATCCATCCATCCAGTCCCCCTCCACCATCCACCCGCCCTATCCATCCATCCATCCAGTTCCCCCCTCCAACCAGTCCCGCTCATCATCCATCCATCCAATGAACAAATCCACAAGGGCCGTGACGAGGATTCGAACCTGTGTCCGAGAGCATCCCAGTCGATTAAGACAGGGTCTGGGGTGCTCTCGGACGCAGGTTCGAATCCTCGTCACGGCCCTTGTGGATTTGTTCATTTGATGCATCACGCAATTGTGATTTCTGTGTGTAAATCCATCCATCCAGTCCCCTCACCATCCATCGGTTGAGTTTTATGACCTAGTTATATTAATGGAGTAAATAATTGAGTCATAACTTATTTTACGTATTGATGAATAAATACAGTACTGTACTGTATATGAGTTATCACTCTAATTTTAGTATGAGATATAGTAAATATACTTAGTATTCCTCCAGGTATTGAGGTCTGATTTGTGTCGAGTGATTATAGTATGGGTGATATGTTCTTCTATTTGAATATGTATTGTTATATTGTTGAATATATGTGCATTTGTGCATGCATGTTGTCTTTAGCATGAACGGGTAGTGCTAGGCCTCCGGGAACGGGTTGGACATGAGGTGGGTTATTGGTGGTACTAACCTGAGTTGCCATGCGGTTTTTGTGTGAGATCTGACCTATAATGGCACTGGCCTAGTAATTTTTGAGTCCATTTGGCAGATATGTTATATGATGGGTGAAGTTGTCTTAAATATGCCAAAATTAGAAGACAGAAGAAAAAGAGGTAATATAATCACTACGTACAAAATAGCAACAGGAATTGATAAAATTAATAGGGAAGATTTCCTGAGACCTGGAACTTCAAGAACAAGAGGTCATAGATTTAAACTAACTAAACAAAGATGCTGAAGAAACATAAGAAAATTCACTTTCGCAAATAGAGTGGTACGTTTGGAACAAGTTAGGTGAGAAGGTTTTGGCCTCCACAAGTTTGGTGGAGGCCAAAACCGTCACTAGTTTCATAGCATTATATGACAGAGTGCTGAGTAGACGGGACACCACGAGCGTAACTCTCCTCCTGTAACTACACTTAGGTAATTACCCAGCACAAGCACAGCCATACCCAGCATGAGCACAGCCCTACCCAGCACATAGCCTAAGCTGTTCTATCCTTTGGAGATGTACGTCCATTTCTCAATAAACTTACCTAAACTTGAATTGAAGGAACAAATTGGACATGGTAAGACAAGATATTTAAGACAAGATATTTATTCAGGTAAATGTACATACATTGAAAATGAGTTACAAACATAATGTCGGATTAATAGATAAAGTTAGTACCTGTACATACAATGCCTGAAGCCCCTAATATGCACAGCATTTTGGGCAAAAGCCCAAAACTTTTTAAAGCAAAGTGTGACACTTGGCTAGACTGCAGGCCTCTAGGCCTAAATGCAAAGACTTATCATCTATCAATTAAGTTAATGGAAAAGACCTACCATTTTGAAAACACAAACGGGCGTATTTGAAGAGGAGTCCACAGAGCTTGCTCCACTAAGTGACAATTCGGTCTCATTACTGTTCCGTGTCTCTATCCCCTCTAGTGGCATATCGTTGACAGCAGTTGCTGCCAGTGTCTTTAACTGAGAAGGCACTGGGTTTGTGGCTGCAGCAGCAGCAGCCAGACTCCTCAGCGTAGTGGGAGCCGGAGCTTCAGGCGGTGATGGGCGAGGAGAGCTTGATGAAAGAGACAGTTGAGGGGAACCAGGTGAGGGAGACGGATGAGGGGAGCCGTGTAAGGATGACGGATGAGGAGAACTAGGTGAGGGTGAAGCATGAGGAGAGTTGGGTGAAGGAGATGGATGAGGAGCCCTTGGTGAGGGATCATTCACAGAGTCTGTTAAAGCATCACCCTCCATCACGACGTCCGCACCACCACCGCCCCCCTCCTCCACACTCCCGTTACTACTGTCCGTCGAGTCGATACCAGAGTCCATGACTGGGTGGCACTCACTGCCCTACTGGACCAGACCACACACTCCAGGACCAGACCACTGGACCACAGACGCGGCGGGGCTCCACGGAGGGTCTTTAGGTCCGGGTCATGTCCTGGAACCGCCGATGCCTCCTTTCATTCTTATTACTTAAAAAGTAACATTGATTATACATTTACTCCACAACAAAATCCACATTTAACTATTTCTTTTGTGTTTTCACTAAACTGTGGCCTATTTAGACAATATTATATTGAAATAAGTTGTATACGTTGAGGGTAAAAATGATGAAAACAATGAATGTTCCGGAGGTTGTTTACGTTGTGGGCTCCTCAGCTGGTTCTGGACTCACCTATTTCTACCTACCTATTGGTACCTACACGATCGAAAATTAGCTCTTAGACCCTGCTTATTTCCCTCGGGTTGTCTACTACCATGACTCCTGACCTATTTCTCTATCATATCTACTTTTAAAATTATTTACTAAAATTTACCACTAACACTCAAGTAGCCTAAAAAAAAATAAAACACACAGGAAGCCGGCGGCTTGTCAAAGGTCTCCTCATTTGACCAGATGACTTTTTCAAGATAGATTTTAAAGCTCAGAAGAGTTTCGGCATTTACTTACATTCTTATAAAGCCACTAGCAAACACACAGCGATTCGGGCAGGTTCTTAATCGTAATTAGTTCTATAATTATTTTTGTTGACCGGACTTGAACCTTGTATAGAGCAGCGGTGTCTCTGAAGATGAGGTCTCCACGCCTGGAGACATTACTCCAGACGCACCAAAGATTTATACAGTTGAATAACTACGGTGGGGACGAGAGGACATAATAGAAGGGAAATTCCACATCCCAGGATACCATCCCCCAATACAGGAAGGACAGAACAAGAGCAGGTAGGGTAATGCTATATGGGAAAGAGAACCTGAATGCAACTACCAATGAGGAATTGAATGCCATCGAATCATCAGTTTGTATGGTGTAACATACAAGATGGTAGTAAACTGGCAGTGTGTCAGTCATGACAGGGCTGACATAGAATGACAGCAGAGGATAAACAAATCCACAAGGGCCATGAGGAGGGTTCGAACCTGTGTCAGAGAGCATCCCAAACGGTGCCTTAATCGACTGAGCTACGACATGGTAGTAGCTCAGTCCCAGACGGTGCCTTAATCGACTGAGCTACGACATGGTAGTAGCTCAGTCCCAGACGGCGCCTTAATCGACTGAGCTACGACATGGTAGTAGCTCACTCCCAGACGGTGCCTTAATCGACTGAGCTACGACATGGTAGTAGCTCAGTCAATTAAGGCAGCGTCTGGGATGCTCTCGGATGTAGGTTCGAACCCTCCTCACGACCCTTGTCGATTTGTTCATTTGATGCATCACGTTATTGTGATTTATGTGTTCAACAGCAGAGGATGTTGTTGATCTGTATTATGTGATCAATGCAACATTTGAAGCCCAAACCCTTATATACCATGGCTATGTTCCAAAAGGAAACAGAGTTAGTATAAATGAGGTTAACCACTGCACTGCGCAAAGCGCCTTTAGGCGCTCAGATAGTTGTGCTTTTTGTTTTTTAATTTGGCTATATTTTAATGTTTTTTAATGTTTTCATTACTATTTGTGTTTTGAAATGGAAATAGTTGACTTTGGAAACATTTTGACATTAAATTTACCCGAACATTTGTAAAAATAACAAAAATATGTCCTTGACAATTGCACCAAGACGTTTTTGCCGAAAATAGGTGAGCAGTGCAAGGGTTAAGTCAGAGTGGGAAAATGTAAGTGGAGTGCCTCAAGGCTCTATCCTGGGTCCTCTCTTGTTTATAATATATATAAATGATATTGATTCAGGTTTGAGTAGCAACATTTGTAAATTTGCCTATGATACAAAAATCGGGAGGGAAATAAACACTGAAGACTCACTATCACTTAAAGTCGACCTAAATAGGGTTTTGAAATGGTCAAAGGATTGGCAGATGCAGTTTAATGCTGATAAGTGTAAAGTTCTGAGGCTAGGTAATGATGATGGAGTTGCAAGATACGAGCTAGATGGTGTTGAGATTGCAAAGTCGGATTGGGAAAGGGATCTGGGAGTTATGATTAGTAAGAATTTAAAACCATAGGATCAATGCATGAATGTTCTTAATAAGGCAAATAAGACACTGGGATTTATTAATCGAAGCATAAGTAACAAGACACCTGGTGTTGTTCTTCAGCTATATCTTGCTCTGGTTATGCCCCATTTAGATTATGCAGTTCAGTTTTGGTCGCCGTACTGTAGAATGGATATAAATTCACTTGAACGTGTCCAGCATAGGATGACAAAGTTAATTCCCCAAATTAGAAACCTGTCATATGAAGAGAGTTTAACAAAGCTTAAGACGCCAGCCAGAGTGTGGCTGGCGTCTTAAGGCAAGACGCTCGCCTGGCGTTCTGCGAGCGCTTTGTCCTGGGTTCGTATCCTGGCCGGGGAGGATTTATTGGGTGCAAATCCTTAACTGTAGCCTCTGTTTAACCAAACAGTAAAATTATAAAAACGATTCTTCGTTGGGGTCGTATTCCAGAGAACATAGGATTAAGGACTTGCCCGAAACGCTACGCATATTAGTGGCTGTACAAGAACGTAACAACTCTTGTATATATAAATAAAAAAAAAATTACATTTACTGGAAAAGCGAAGAGTTAGGTGTGACATAAGAGGTTTACAAGTGGGTGAATGGACATAACAAAGGGAGGATATTAATAAGTTATTAAAAGTATCAACACAAGACAGAACACGAAACAATGAGTATAAATTGATTAAGTTTAGATTTAGGAAAGAGTTGGGTAAATACTGGTTCGGTAACAGGGTTGTTGATTTGTGGAACCAATAACCGCATAACATGGTGGTGGGGGGGGGTGCCTCGATTGTTTCAAACGTGAGTTGGACATGTATATGAGTACGATTGAGTGGTTATAAATAGGTGCTGCCTTGTATGGGCCAATGGGCCTTCTGCAATTACCTTTGTTCTTATGTTTTTATGTTTTTATATTAGGGGACTTTAACCACAAGTCCATAGACTGGGTAAATCTAACATCACAAGCAGAAGGAAAACAATTTCTTGACCAGGTGCAGGACACCTTTCTCATGCAGCATGTGGTAGAGCCACCACACGAGGTAACAGCATTCTAGATCTTGTGCTAATTTATTTATTTATATTTATACAAGAAGGTACAAAGGGTTTACGAGAGTATATAGCATTGATGCTTTTACATTCTTATAAAGCCACTAACACGTATAGCATTTCGAGCAGGTAAATAATCTAACAGATAATATTAAATGTTTTGTAGCAAAATTTAAAAAAAGTTAACAGGTACATTATAAGAAAATTTGAAGAAAATTAGTAGGTACATCTTATACAAATTTGAGGATTATCGACAGATACATTGTACCATATTTTGAGGATTATTTCTAGGTACATTGTATTAAGATTTGCATTCAACATAACAACCATGATGTAAGATGATGGCAGCGATTACAACGGTGAAGTTATATGGTTTATACATATTTTGGGGGTAGCACACAATACAGTGCAAGTGTGATGCACTAGGTAGAAAACAATGAGGATGAAATTAGGTACTTTTTGGTGTTTTTTTGGATAAGCCAAAAGTTGGACAGCTTTTTAATTCATTAGGGAGTGAGTTCCATAGACTAGGTCACTTTATTTGCAGTGTTTTTACACAGATTTAGTTTGACTCTGGGGATATCAAAGAGATATTTATTTCTGGTGTGGTGATTATGGGTTCTGTTACATCTGTCAAGGAAGAGTTTCAGATCAGGATTTGCATTTAGGAGCAAGGTTTTGTACATGTAAATGGCACAACAAAATGTGTGGAGTTTTATGTTTAGCATATTTAGGGATTTAAACAGAGGGGCTGTGTGTTGTCTGAAAATAGTTTGTTATTGTTCCTATAGCAGATTTTTGGTAGTTTGCAATGGTTGAACCCCCCATGCACAGATACGGTATGTATCTATGACTCTCTCCCACAGTATCTGCATTTAGACACTCCTCGCTTCCGAATGCATATGCTTAAGAGCGTACATAGTGCACAGTTAACGCACACAGTAACTGTGTGAAGTCCTCAGCTGGCCTCCATGTGGCACTCCTAGTTCCACTAACTAGCTGAGGCATTCCCCCCCTGCTGCTGCTCTAAGGGGACCATCCATCTACCTGCAGTAGGGGCCACTTGTCAATGACACTTGGTTTGAGCATTCCCAAAGGCCATCTTGGGCAGCTGGCCCAGATGTCATGGCCTTTCACGCCTCGTCACCCATAAACTTTTGTGAAAACCACTACGGAAACGTGCTGACCCCAGTATGGTTTGGCAAATTGAAGGCGGTAAGGTAACACACACATCAGGGAAAATGCAAGTGAAAGCTATATTATATATATTATTACTGTAATTATGTATACAATATTAAAAACATACATATTCTATGGGATTCTACAAATACAGTACATATACACAAATACAGTACATATACACAAATACAGTACATCTTTAAATTTTTAACAATTACAAAAATTGGGAGACCCAAAAATAACTGAAGCAGCTTGAAAGCTAGTGTGTGTGAGATAATGCAAGCTACCACAGTCTTCAACAGGCTCGGTCCTAATTAATTTGTATTCACTGTATATAACAAAAAAAATACTACAATGTAAAAATTGGACTACAATACAATACTGTACATAGATTTAACCATTTCAGAATTTCAAGCAATCATTTGACAATACTGTATAATGAAATTACTGAATACTGATTGTCCCTTATTAATAAAACCTGCACATCAAATAAACAGCACTTCTACTTGGTTCAGATATGTATTGTATACAGTACCATGGAAGAGCAGTCCATGTAAATCCTCTTCCCACACATCAAAGGTATACTGTAGTTTGGTAACCAGATCATTGTTCATCTTTCCATTTATGGGAATGCATGAATATATGTACAAAAGGAGAACAATAAAAAAGAAAATTCATGACAACAATGAAAAACTGCTCTGTTGCAGCCTCAAAATTCATTCAAAAGATCAACATGGAGCACAGTATTCAATGACAAAGCATTAGTGACCAAATTCTGATTTTCCATCACTTATGAATTTGAAACACTATTTTCACCTGTACTATATTAAATTGATATCCACTATATCTAGTGACACTCATGGGGTATTTTGTCTTACCACCATTACTGGACTGTATATTTTGTTTGATCAAAATGTAATACTACACTACCCACAGCACATGTTATCAACCCCTAAAGTTAGCTTGCTTGTCTATTATAATCCAGTCTTATTGCATATATATATATATATATATATATATATATATATATATATATATATATATATATATATATATATATATATATATATATATATATATATATGCATATTTCTTTTAGAACCGTGTGTGGAAAATATGGGTAGGCATACAAGATCAAAGGCACAAGTTGTGGAGTAATCAAGTGGGTTGAGAGAAATACTTGAGTGTGTGTTGGACGAGTAAAGAGGAACGAACGTATGGGAGAGTTAAAAGATTAAGTGTTAGGCAACTAACAATTGGGGAAAAAAAGAAATAAGTATCACACCTAGCCAAGTGGAGAAAATATAATATACATATGAAAAGTCCTTTAAGGGCATTATATACATACACTCACTCACATATATATATATATTAATAAATATATACAGTATACTGTATATATAAAAAGAACCAGCTAAAAGAAAATGTTGTAACAGGACAGGACTATGAGAAATAAACAGATTACATATACTGTACTAGAATATTTATGTTATTCACCCTTCCTCCTCTCCATCTCCATGTTCTCTCCTTACTTCTGCCTATTAGGTTTTTCCCTGCTATGCTTATTTCCTGCCATCTTTATCTCTAATTCTTATTTTACTTATGCATGTTTTAATTTTTCTTTCTTTATTGCCCTAATAAAACCTGGTTTTCCTACTAATACCTATTGTTCTTTATTTTTAACTCTACTACCTACATCATTTCTGTTTTTATCTCTACTCTTCACTCCATTATCTTTGTTTCTATCCCTCCTTCCATGTTTATGATCTTCATCTATACTTCTACATTTCTGGATTGCTTTACTGCCTTTTCTATCTGAATCATTTCTATTTCTGTCATTTTCCTTTTCTAAGCTTCCTTTCCACTCAAATTTATTTTTTTCTCTCATCCTACTACTATCTCTATCTTTGTTATTATCTTTACTCCAGAAGTCCCAGGCTCTTTCCCTTATTCTTGCATTCTCTGAACTGTTCTCTCTCTGGCAACTGTGGTTTTCCTGTTCTCTCTCTCTCTTCTTCCTGCGGGTGGTCTTTTCTCTCTCGTGAAGCCCCTCTGCTCCATAGTGGGGCATTGTCACGCCTTCTTCATCAGAAAGTTTTTCTCGCTTAACTTTAACCTCACTGGTATTACCGAAAGGATTATCACTCCCAATAAAGTCTATTTTTAGGCCTTTCGTTATTTCTCTTAAGAGAGCTTGTGTGTCAGGCTTCTCGTCTGGTGGATCTCTCTTCCTCCTCTTCCTCTTCCTCTTCTCCTCACCTTCAGACTCCGAGTCAGAACTACTCAAACTGCTTCTCTTTTTTTTCTTCTTTACCTCATTTTTTTTCCTCCTTTTCTTTCTTTCTTTTTCAGATTCAGAATCAGAAGAATCACTGCTAGATGAAGTCTCAGACTTTTTCTTCTTCCTTGTCTTCTTGGATTTCTTATTCTTCTTCTTTTTGTCTAATTTTTCAAGTTTATGCAAAAGCTTTTTTTTCTCCTTTGTTGTTAATGATTTAAGAAGGGTGTACTCGTCCACGCTCTCTTCATCGCTAGATAACAACCTCTGTAAAACAAGTGAGAATAAGATACATTTAAAAAATTATTTTAAGAAGGAAAATGTTTGATTTTTAAAGTACAGGGTATGTATTAAATCATTGAATATAATAAAATGTCCTTTTCTGCGAGGCATTAATACAGCAGCCCCATAGTACTGTACACTGATATCACAAGAGATAGCCGCAACACTATCAGGCCTCTGGACGTGCACAGGTCTGCTAATCGCCAGGACCATAATCTGGTGCACTCAGAGGCAACATAAGCATGGGGATGTAAGATGAACCACATAACCAAGAGAACCTGGTGAGGAAGAGAAGACCAGGTGTACAAACTATCCCCACCACACCATCACTGAAACTTTCCCTAAAATGGCTGAAGGGGGGAAACCCTTTCAGCCACTGGAGGCAAGGTGAATGGTGGAGGCATCAACCTTGACAAAGTACAGTAAATAGGCAGCTCAGCCTGCAGTGGAACCAAAGATGAACCAGTAACTAGACCCCAGCCAGGAGAAATGTGATAAATAGAATTACTCTTCACAAGACCAATAGGAGCAGAGCACGGGTAAAACACTCATGACAGTGACTGACAGGACGATCTTGCTACACCCAGCACCCAATCCACCATGGCTCCCCAGAAGCCAATGCCAACAGGAAGACAGCCTTGGAAAAACAATCTTGAACCAAAGGAGCCACCACAAGCCATGGAGAGAAAAGAGAGCACCCGGTCCAAGGACCAGGACGGCTCAGGCAGCGCATTAGCAGGCTGGAAGTGAAACAAAATATGAGAAAGCTTACGGAACAGGACAGAAGTAACATCCACCCTGAATGCAAGCAGAAGCCGCTCTGCCAGCGCCACATGATATGAGACGACAGTATTAGGCATCAAATGACGTGTCCTGAAAAAAGCCAAGAAAGAAAAGACAAGTCAACCCGATCCGAAATAGAGGACAACCTACGAGGAGAGAGAGAAAATGGTGGAACAAGTGCCAGGAAACCTCATACTGTTACTGAGAAAAAGCTCACAGGTGGGATACCATCAATGAAGCCACCTGATCACCATAAAGTGGTGATAGACCCATGTCATAAAGACCAGACGCGAAGAGCAGAGGAGAAGACCGAACCAGCCAGGTACCTGACTGGGCAGATATGCTGAAAAAGGCGGAGCCAAGGGAAACATCGCGTGTTCGGACACCGAGCAAGCGATTACCCGAGATATCAACAAATTCTCAGGTAAACTAACAGGCCAAACAAGGATAGATTATTTGGAATAGATGGTACACAAATACAGTATGGGGGGAAATAGATGAGAACTAAGTATCCAGATGAGCCAGACATTAGAAAGAAATGTTTCGGTATCTGAGTAGTAAACAAATGGAATGCATTAAAAAGTGAAGTGGTGGAAGCAGACTCCATACAGTGCTTCAAATGTATATTAGATTGAGTGCAAGAGGCTTGGGAACCTGTACATCAATTGTCTGAACGTTGAGAGGCAGAACTAAAGAGCAAAGTTCAACCCCTGTAAAGCACAGTAAGGGGAGTATAATTAGGTGAGTACACAGACATGAACAGGTAGCTACATATTCTTACCTGATTCTTAGCGAAAGGATTCTGTATTTGACCATAGATTCCAGAAGACATGGCAGCAAAATTTTTGAGCCTCAGCCCATCATCAATCATTCCTGCAGCCAGTTCCTTGTGGTCTAAGTTGCCAGACCCATCTGTTGGTTCCAGCACACGGCCATATAATGGGCATTCCTTGTCAGTGTTAATGTGACCCCAAGCTTTACACTTGATGCACCTAACATTACGCACAGCAATTCCAAATGGTTGATCACGGATTGTATCATCATCCTTGCAGTAGCTGAAATGAGAACATTTCACCATGATAAACTAGGGATTAAAATGTTTCAAGTATTTGCTAGCAGAATTAGTCAATGCAAACCCCAATTAATATACAAGTGCAAGTTAGACAGTCAAAAGAAAGTAAAAGGTCTCGGGCAGAAGCATAAGTCCTTCTTACCCTATATAGAATTTAGTGGGTCTGCTTTGAAAGGATTAGCAAGTTAGGATAATGTTTTGGCAATTAATGATTTCAAGACATTCTCATAGCAAAGCTAAGTTTCTTTCCTTTATATGCAGTTGACCATAGTAGTGGGTTGATCTCTGATACCAGACTAAGGATGATGTTTGATATTGGTGAGCAAAGTTTGTCATCAGGAGCGTGTTGTTTTCACTATTGTCCTATACATCATGGTGTGATGAGCTCAGGGGAGCTAACAAGGAGTGCTAACCAAGTTGCATTTTTCACCAGCTTGCAGTTTGTATTGTTTCTCCTATCTTTCTGGGTGCCCTTCCTGGTCAATGGCAAGTATGACATACTCTAAATGTAGAGTGCTCATAGGCCATTGCTCACTTCACCTCTCTGATGGGACCAGGTTCTGGTTTGTGGTCTCTGGTAGGCATAAAGAATTTCCATGATTGATGACCCCAAACTAATATTGCACATGTCAGTTTGGATAGCTTCAGAGAGCCGATGGGGCTCCCCATAGAAATACCCAAATAACGGAACTATTCACTCTACCCAGCATGAGAGTAAGAACAAGACCGGAACGTGAAGATACCAACGTAGACGACACTGCTCAAAATGCCACACCCACTACACCGGATTAATCTTTGAATGTGCTTCCCCACTTTTTTGCCTTATTCTTCACCCTTTTATGCCTTACTCTTCACCCCCTATATGCCTTATTCTTCACTTATTTGTATTTGTATGTACCTAACCTCCCTCATGGTATAAATCCAATATGCCCAGTACTGTACCATTCACTTGAGAATGAACCATGTAGGCTCAAAACATTATGTAAATTTATAATAAGTGTAATACATTCTTCAGTTAATTATTTACTTTAGTTTACATCAAACAAAGATGACATTTGGAGAAATCCTCTTCCAATTAAACCTAGATGTATGAGCATTAGTCAGAGGAATAGAAGCCCTAGACAAAAAAAATAATACAGAATATGCAGTTATATTCAATGAAACATTTTCATTGTTTTCATTTTTCAATGAGCACTATTTTCTTATTATAAATGCAATAGAAAAGCAAAAACCAATTTGCACCCCAAAAGTGACATCTCATCTGGATGTTCAGCCAAGTGTTAACAGGCAGTCAGAGGGTAAAACACTACAACAGATCTGGTCAACATATTTTCTTGAAGAATGCAACTACTTGAATTTTAAGAGAAAACCATGAACATAATACTATATTCATTTATCACAGCAGGTCCATGTACAATAATCTGATGAGTATTTTATGTATAGACTTACACGATCACTGCCAAGTGTTCCAATAATACAGTAGTTAGCAAGTGACAAGGATACACGCACTCACCTCTCTCTTGGGGCATTGAATTTACGTTGCCATTCAAATTTATATTCTGGTTCACCATCTTCTTTCTCCCTTTCCTTCTTGACTCCTGCAGGAGCTTCATACATGAAGTTGAGTGATAATTTTTCCTTATTTTCTCCCTTTGCCAAAAGAGCTTTGTTATTGTACAATTCCTGTTCTTTCTCATATTGTATTCGCAGTTCATCCTGTTTCTTGCGTTCTGCATCAGCTTTCTGCTCAGCTATCCACACCTAATAAAGAAATATTATCATTGGCTGCACAGAAAACTTGTACATTGCAAACTTGGCTAACATTTGACTTTTTTTACATTCTTGTTCAAGCATGCATGAATGTTCATGCACAGCATAAGGATGAGGGAAGGGGATGTTCCCTCCATGCTGGATTTTATATTTACCAGGAAAGAGAAAGAGATACTGTATTTGACATTCAGTACTTTCCTCCCTTGGGTAAACATGACCATGTCTTTTTGGGAATAAAGTATGCAATGCATTATAATCTGGAAGAAAATGAGGAGGTTGAAGCAGGTTTAAAAACCTGATTTCAGGAGAGGACATTATGGGGAACTTAGAATTTTTTAAGGAATTTGACTGGAAAGACTAGCTGTTAGGTAAGGAAGTAAATGAGATATATGTCAAGTTTTGTGAAATATATGATAGGCATAAAAATTTTTTTATACCAAAGCAGAGATGCAGAACTAGGAAAAAGGATTGGTTCAACAGAAATTGCGACAGGGCCAGAGACAAAAATGGAATCAATATGGGGAAGAGGCCAAGCCCCCAAACATACCAGCAATACAAAGATGCAAGAAACAACTTCTGTACATGATAGTGAGGAGAGAGGCACAAAGAAAGTTTGAGAAAGGAAAAGCGGACAAATGTAAAACAGAACCAGGCCTATTCTATAGATTCATCAACAACAAATTGCAGATAAAGGATAATATTCAGAGGTTGAAAATGGGAAACAGATTCTTGGAAAATGAAAAAGGGAATGTGTGAAACATTAAACGAAAAGTTCCAAAGTGTGTTTGTACAAAATGAAATCTTCAGAGAACCAGACAATAAGAATTCCAGAGAACACAGCACATAGAGGTGTTTAGAGACGAAGTGGAAGAAATGCTCAAGAAGCTAAGTAAGAACAAAGCAGTTGGCCCAGATGGAGTTTCACCATGGGGTTCTGAGAGAATGTGCACTTGAGCTCAGCATTTTATTTCAACTGATTTTTCCAGGCATCCCTGTATACAGGAGTCCTAGCAGATGTGTGGAAAAAGGCTAACATAGTTCCAATCTACAAAAGTGGCAGCAGGGAAGACCCCCATCAATTATAGACCTGTATCATTGACAAGTGTAATAGTCAAAATATTGGAAAAAATAATTAAAACTTAACGGGTAGAACACCTGGAGAAAACTATATAATAACAGGCAGACAGTATGGTTTTCGATCTGGAAGATCCTGTGTAACAAATTTACTCAGTTTCTACGATTGAGCTACAGAGATTTTACAGGAAAGAGATGGTCGGGTTGACCACATCTATCTGGACCTAAAATAGGCTTTTGCCAGAGTTCCACATAAGAGGTTGTTCTGGAAACTGGAACATATTGGAGGAGTGACAGGTAGACTTTTAACACAGATGAAAAATTTTCTGACAGAAAAATGAGGGAACAAGAGGTCATAGATTTAAACTAACTAAACAAACCTGGTGAAGAAATATATGAAAATTCACTTTTGCAAACAGAGTGATAGATGGTTAGAACAAGTTAGGTAAGAAGTTGGTGGAGAAAGCATCAGTAGTTTCAAAATGTTATATGACAGTGTTGGGAAGATGGGACACCACGAGCATAGCTCTCATCCTGAAACTACACTTAGGTAATTACTGTACTTGATTCACAGTGAATCGCAAATATGTCACACGATGAGCACACACATTTTTCTTATTAAAACCTGACCAATCCTAACCCTACACAATCCAACATAACTCAACCCAAGTTAATTTAGACCATCCTAACTCAATCCAACTTTACCTAATACAATAAGCCTACCCATTGTTATATGCAGTTTTAACAATTATAAAAATGTTCTATGTGTGAGATGCCTGTGTACAACTGAACTCTTACCCATATTATTTGGGTACAGTCCCACAGGACACGGCACCTTGTTTGGAGACACACATTGTGAGTTACCCTCTGCCCAGATTTTGATACACTTTACCTGAATTTATCTGAAGGTCACTATGTATCTAGTGACCTCAATGGGTAAAGGAAGCTGGTGGCTTGTCAAAGGTCCTCCTTTCCCTCAATTTTTCCTGATAATTTTTTCCACATGGATTTTACTTGAGGGCCAGTAACACTAGTGGCCTTAACAAAGACAGGAAACCAGCAGCTTGTAAAAGGTCCTTCCATTTGCCCTGATTATCTTTTCCAGTTGAATTTTAAAACTGAACAAAGCTTTGGCATTTACGGCTTTGGCGGGTAGGCAGTTCCATGGGTTTATAACCCTGTGGGTGAAAGCATCTTATGTTCTCAGTTCAACATTGTGGCTTGTTGAACTAGAAACCGGTGCTTCTCGTTCGTGTTACATCTGACCTTTAGCAGAAATTGTTCGGATCAACATCCTCCAAATTGCTGCAGTATTTTAAGTTTCATTGAGATCCTCCCTGTCATACTTCATTTGCAGTGTTGTTAGCCCTGTGGCCCTCAACCATTCCTGATACAAAAGATGACTAAGCTCTGGGATGATTTTTGTTGCCCAGTGGTGTACTTTCTCCAGAGCAGCTAAGTCTTTCTGAAGATCTCCGTGCCTGTATGCCATAATCCAGGTGGGGGCACACCAGGGACTTAAACAACTGAATGACTAACGTCTTTTCCTTAAAGGTAAAAGTATGCATAATTGTTCCTAGGATTTTTTTTTTTTTTTTTTTTTTTTTTTACTGCAGTTCCCACTTTTGCAACTATCGGTGAATGATAGATTCTGACTCCAAGGTCCTTTTCTTTATCAATCTGCTGCAATATAATGCTGTTAATTTAGTAGTTGTGACATAGATTGTTATGCCCCACATGCAGGGTCTTGCATTTATCAATATTAAAGGCATTTGCCAGTCTTCTGATCATTTGTGGAGTTAATGTAGATCTCTTTGTAAGGCTTCAATATCATTTTCACTTCCTACTTTACCATAGATCTTAGTGTCATCTGCCAATTTGATGATGTGGTTTGTAATATTCTCATCTACGCCATTGATGTTTATGACAAAACGGGTTGGCCCCAAAATCGACCCCTGTGGTACACCACTTCCCTCATTTCTCCAATCAAATTCCTTCCTGTTTATCACGACCCTTTGTTGTCTTTATTTTAACCATTGTTTACACATTCTAATAGTCTCCCATTTATTCCATGTGCCTGTTGTTTCCTTTTCCAGTTCATTTGCATGTAGTTTAATTTCCAGTTCATTTTGGTCTAAAACAAAGTGTTTAGGCCCGAAAAACAGTATAAAAGCTGGTTGTTGTCATGCCTTTAATTATTATTTAAGAGGGATTCAGATTCTAGTGGCTGCACGAGACTTTATCCACCTACATACCTGCTTGAGGTTATGCGACACAGCCCACACCACTTGAGGTTATGTGACAGCCTACACCTACTCTACATACCCGCTTGAAGTTATGCAACAGCCTACACCTGTTCTACGTACCCACTTGAGGTTATACGACAAAGCTTACACCTTTCTACGTACCCGCTTGAGGTTATGCGACAAAGCTTACACCTGTTCTATGTACTCACTGAGGTTATGCGACGGCTTACACCTGTTCTACGTACACGCTTCAGGTTATGCGACACAGCCTACACCTGCTCTACTTACCCGCTTGAGGTTATCTCGAGAGGCCGGGTGGAAGAACTTCTTGCACATATAGTTATTAAAGCCTTTGCCCATGGCGGCGGTGACCCAGTCTTGGCAGCGAAGAAGGTTGTGTTGATTTAGGGGCGACGACGATCGTGGTATCTGATGCGCCCTGGGAAGGTGAGTTGTGTTGACGTTCACCCCACCAACAGCCTCTGCGTTCGTCAGCGCCTCAGCGTTCGTCAATGCCTCAGCGTTTCTTTAGTCACTCACTAGCTTAATTATCCCTAATTACTTATCATAATCATATCACACATAATCTTAAATGTGTGTCAAAAATGTGTGTATAAAGAACATAGAGGAAGGGACAAATCTTCCTGTGGAAAACCCTTAAATTTACTTTAATGTACCTACTAATCTTGTCAAATTTCTTAAACAATGTGTTTTTTATTTTATTTTATTTTATTTATGCATATACAAGAATGTACATAAAAAATGTGAGGATACAAATATGGTAATTACAGTCTTGTAAAGCCACTAGCACGCGCAGCGTTTCGGGCAGGTCCTTAATCTAAGAAAATTTTAAGGAGGTAAATACTTGCAAAATTATAGACAAAAAATGATAACAAATTACATGAAATGAAAAAAAAGATGAGAGAAAATTGTAGGTACAGTATATTAAAGCACATAGGTAGCTAAGATTGATTGCAATGACAGCTTGAATGGTAGTTGACAAAAAAATTGGTAGGCATAATACAGCAGAAACAATATAAGATTGATTGCAATGACAGCTTGAATGGTAGTTGACAAAAATTGGTAGTCACAATACAGCATATGGCTAGCACATAAAAGAAGACAGCAATGAACACAATCATAAGGTTGTTTGAAATTACATAAAAATTAGGAGATTGGGTAACACTAGGTACAGAGCAAATTTAAAGCTCAGTGTAGGAAACTAAGAAGATGAAGTTAGGTACTTTTTGGTTTTGCTTTTAAATAAGGCAAAAGTTTTACAGTTTTTCAATTCACTAGGGAGTGAGTTCCATAAACTAGGTCCCTTAATTTGCATAGAGTGTTTACACAGATTAAGTTTGACCCTGGGGATATCAAAGAGATATTTATTTCTGGTGTGGTGATAATGGGTCCTATTACATCTGTCCAGGGAGAGTTTCAGAGCATGGTTTGCATTTAAGAACAGGGTTTTGTAAATGTAGTTGACACAAGAGAATGTGTGGAGGGAGTTAATATTTAGCAAGTTTAGGGATTTAAACAAGGGAGCTGAGTGTTGTCTGAAAGCTGAGTTAGTTATCATTCTGATAGCAGATTTTTGCTGTGTGATGATGGGCTTAAGGTGGTTTGCAGTGGTAGACCCCCATGCACAGATACCATAATTAAGATAGGGGTAAATTAGTGCATAATATAGTGAGAGGAGAGCAGAGTTAGGAACATAATATCTGATTTTGGAGAGTATACCAACTGTCTTAGAGACTTTCTTAGTTATGTGTTGAATGTGGGTGCTGAAGTTGAGTCTCTTGTCTAGGAATAGGCCAAGAAACTTGCCATCATCTTTATTACTGATGTTAATGTTGTCTATCTGTAGCTGAATTGCATTTGATGATTTGCTTCCAAATAAGATGTAGTAAGTCTTTTCGATGTTTAATGTTAGTTTGTTCGTTGACATCCATAAGTGGACTTTTTTTAATTCATTATTCACAACATTATTTAGTGTATGTGGGTTGAGGTTTGAATAGATAAGAGTAGTATCGTCAGCAAACAGTATAGGTTTGAGAATATTAGAGACATTAGGCAGATCGTTTATATATATAAGAAATAGAAGAGGTCCTAAGATGCTGCCCTGTGGCACTCCAACGGTAATTGGTAGAGTGGACGAAGTTGTATCATTGATGGTTACATATTGGTGTCTGTCACTAAGATAGGATCGGATGTAGTCAAGGGCAAGGCCTCGGATTCCATAATGCTGGAGTTTAAGTAAGAGGTAGTTGTGATTAACAGTATCAAAGGCTTTTCTTAGGTCAATGAAGAGTCCAATCGGAAACTCATTTTTGTCAAGGGCTGAGTAGATAACGTCAAGGAGACTAATGATTGCATCGTTGGTGCTCTTTTGGGACCGGAAGCCAAACTGGCAGGGGCTGAGTATGTCGAATTTTACGAGGTAGGAATAGAGCTGTTTGTAAATAATTTTTTCAAATATTTTTGATAGAATGGGTAGATTTGATATTGGTCTATAATTGTTTATGTCCGCCGGATTGCCTCCTTTATGGACTGGCGTTACTCTTGCTTTTTTGAGGATATCAGGGAAGGTGTGACACTCTATAGATTTGTTGAACAGTAGTGCTATGGGTGGGGCAAGGGCATGGGAGGCTCTCTTGTACACAATGGACGGAATTTCACTGGTGTTCCCTGCCTTGGTTTTTAGAGAGTGTATGATGGACACAACATCTGCCGGGCTGATTGGTGAAAGGAGAAGAGAGTTTGGATAGCTGCCCGAGAGATATGTGTTAATATGTGTCTGAGTCTGTGGGATTTTACTGGCAAGATTAGCACCAACCGATGAAAAGAAACTATTAAATTCATTTGCCATTTCTAAATTAGTTGACGGTATATCCCCATCCTTGTAGAGTTTTATTTGGTTATGTGAGTGTTGCTTAGTTCCTAGGATACTAGAGATAGTTTTCCAAGTGTTTTTCATGTTGCCTTTTGCTTCATTGAATCTATTCACATAATATGCAAGTTTTGCCTTTCTTATGATACTGGTAAGCATTGATGAGTACCTTTTAGCTACTTCCTTTGAAACTAGGCCAATCCTAACTTTCTTCTCATATTCATGTTTCTTGTTGATTGAGTTGAGAATGCCACTTGTGAGCCATGGATTGTTTAATCTTTTGTCAGTTACTTGCTTTGTAAGAAGGGGACAATGAAGGTTGTAGAGGCTTAGAGTTTTGGAGAGGAAGAGGTTAGCTAATGAATTTATATCATGGGTATTATTGAATTCAGAATCCCAGTTAATATTGTGAAGTGCCTCTGTAAGATTGTCTAAAGCTGATTCACTGTGTAGCCTAAATGAAAGTTTCTTGCTTTTTGGTGGTGTTATGTTCATGTTCGCTATGAGAAAGGTAGGATAGTGGTCAGTTTTATACTTTCTTACAATTTTTTTAATCATGGAAGGGAGTATAAAAAAGAAACGCTGATCAAGTTCAAGTTCATGTTTATTGAGATAAGCAATAAATACATCTCAAAGGGATAGAGCAGCTTAGGCTAGTTCTACCCCCCTCTACTTCAAGTCCCTCAAGGGGCGCACAAATTCAGTGAGTACAAATAGACATATAACAGTACAAGAATCCCATTTAACATTGCAAGACGCTGAGGCATTGACGAACGCTGAGGCGCTGACGAACGTCAGCGCCTCAACGTATTGAGATAAGCAATAAATACATCTCAAAGGGATAGAGTAGCTTAGGCTAGTTCTACCCCCCTCTACTTCAAGTCCCTCAAGGGGCGCACAAATTCAGTGAGTACAAATAGACATATAACAGTACAAGAATCCCATTTAACATTGCAAGACGCTGAGGCATTGACGAACGCTGAGGCGCTGACGAACGTTGTGGCTGTTATATACTTTCGTCAAGGGTTACATAGGTACATAATGGGCTCAGGGACTGAACCCCACAATTCATTTAGCTAAGGCTGAATGGCTGTACACTATAGATAAGGGTGAAGATGGATGGATGTATAAGGATGAAGATGGAAGAGGGATGGATGGAAAATCTAAAACAATAACTGGATATATATATACTACATCCACCGGAAGTCTTTTGTCTGAGTAGCTGGTTACCGTTTCCAAAAATTTGAGCAGGTTTGCAAAGCGGGATCTATTTTTAATAAATCCATGTTGAATGGATTGTACAAGAGTGTTCTCTGTGAGATGTTGGATGATTCCTTCCCTTAGGATTCTCTCCGTGAGCTTGCAGATGTGTTATGTCACGCTGATCAGACGGTAGTTTTCTGCTGAGCTCATTCCACTGGTATCTCAGAAAGGTTGCTGCTGGATTTAGCTTTAAGCGAGACAAGAAAATCAATAATATCCGAGTAGTTCGCTGGACAGGTATAGAGACTTGGGACAGCTGCCGGAGAGGTGGTCGCCTGCCTTTGCTTGGGATACAGGATCTTATTTGCAAGTGATATACCATGGGATCAGAAGAAACTATTGAATTTAGTAACATGTGAGAGGCTGATAACATTTCATTATTTCCAGCTAGGAATATTGTTTTTCATGCAAGTTCTTCTTTAACTCTAACATCTGGGAAATAGTGTTCTATGTTTTATTCATGTTACCTTTATTTTGATTAAATTAATTTTCAAAGTAGGTTGTTTTGGCTTTCTTGTATTATCTTAGGAAGCAGTGAGAAGTATCGTTCAGACAACTCTCCTAGAATGACTCCTAGCCTGTATTTCTTCTCGGGATTCTCATATTTATGTTTTTATTAATTGATGTAAGTATCCCTTTAGCGAGTCAAGCATTGTTGGTCCTTTCAGTTGTGACTTGTTTAGCAAATGACAGTGCTAATTGTATAGAGGCTTAGAATTTTGTGAAGTAATGTCTGCACAGGTAGTTTAATGTTAGCCATATTACCTAGTTTCGCTTCCCAATTTTTGCTACCAGCAGCAGCAACAAAGTTAATTACTTATGGAGGCTTCAGTATGACGTCTAAAGGTCATTTTCTTTGTTCCAAGAAGAGGTTTAGAAATGATGGCATTGGTCTGTTGTATCATCAGTGATTATTCCAGAGGTAAGTGGAAAGGTTACGTTATTCCAAATGTAGTCATTTCAGTAATTCTGGTGGGATTAGTTATTATGGGCAAAACCATGCAGGATTTCCTACCTTGAGGTTACCTTGAGGTGCTTCCGGGGCTTAGTGTCCCCGCGGCCCGGTCGTCGACCAGGCCTCCTACAGTTGAGGAAGCTGGCAAAAAGTAGGTTATCAGGCTGGCATAGGCATATTGAAATCCCCAGTTAATATTAGCTGATTTTTGTTAAGCTTGTTACTTAATATTAAGTTTCGAAGGTTGGAGTTGAATTCAACTACATCAGTGTTAGGAATTATGTAGAATGCTCCCAAAGTTAAGTGTTCAAGACCTATTACTTGTTAGTGTCTTGGGGAATTGTGTTCTGTAGGAACGAGTCACATTAAAGTAAATGTGGCAGTTACTTAAGTTATCCCCAAATAATTCCACATTTCAAGAAGTTCTATTGCAATCAATTAAGGGTTCCCATTTACCCGAGGGACACTATCTCTCTAGTGGCCTCGACGAGGACAGGAAGCCTGCGGTTTATCGTAGCTCCTCACATTTGTCCTGACGATTTTGTCAAGCTGGATTTTGAAATTCATCAGCGTTTTAGCATTTACACTCCGGCGGGTAGGCGGTGTTATGAACCCCAGATAGCATCATGGGGTAGGTCCCTTGTGAGAGTTATTCAACACTTGACTGGAGGTAGGAGTCAGGGGGAAGGAAGTTAATTAAGCAAATGTCAGTGAATTATGACTGAATAGAGACAAGATTGATTGATTGATGAAGATTAAGCCACCCAAAAGGTGGCACGGGCATGAATAGCCCGTAAGTGGAGGCCCTTTTGAGCCATTACCAGTATCAAGAGCTGATACTGGAGATCTGTGGAGGTAGAGACAAGCAGAGGACGAGCATCTTATAGAAGCTAGTTGAGATAAAATGTCGACATTTTGATCCGTATTATAACGCAGACGGAGGTCGTACTGCATCACTTTAGTTACGAAAGTCGTCAAGGATAGACGTACGTCGGTGCCCTCCTGGGAAGAAAGAAGATTATAGTTCTCGGTTAAGAGTTTGAGTGAAGGTTATAGTGTACAACCGGCGAGGAAGCTGCCGAGGACGGCGTACATCGTTTCTCAGTGATCGTGAACGATATTAAGGGCGGCCTGAATCCTACATGGTGGCTTCAGGTCCTGTTCTGTGTGGACCCCTGCTGTGAGATATCCTCTGAGTGGATGAAATTGAGCAGGTGTTTCTGTGTGAAACTTGCCTGGCGACTTTGTGTACTCAAATCGGGACTGTGAGAAACATTTATAGACAGTCCAAGAGGATTTGTGGACGACTTTCAAGAGAGCGCCATATTTGGGGCGTCGTCGGACATGTCGCCGTATCATCCTGCCTGCGGTAAGCGCTCTTTATCATATGATGTATTACTTGTTAGTGCCTAATCGTGAGCCCAGCGATCATTGAGAACGTTAGTGGATATAAGTTAGATATTTTATGAAGGTACTGAGAGTATATTATTACGGTAATCTGCCTGTTCCTTTACCGCTTAGTCACCAACGTATCTGCATGCTCCAACATCAACAACAACAATACGTGCTCAAAAGTATCGGATCGACGTATAAACCTCTCAACTTGTGGAAGGATAACTCCCAGCAGGACTAATCAATATAATACAGTTCATTTGCATCATACAGTCCACTTCAATTAATTAATTTTAAAGTAGATTTCGACTAGTAATTTAACAGTACTCAAACTCCTACTGGGCAAAATTTCCCACAGGTAGAGTGGAACTTCGAGTGTAGTGGTGCTACACGTTTATGGTGAAGGTGCATAAAGGAACTTCACAGGCATTGAGTGGGACTTCAAGTAGCAGCAAATACTGAAGAGACTGCAGGAGTACCTACCTGATTTTGAGGACCCAGAGACAGATGCTCTTAGTGGTGGGCCTCAGGACGTAGAACAGAGAATTGTATGGACACCATAATATGTGAGGGAGTGCTTGAATGGATAGGAGGTGAGTGACGCAATGTAAGGTGAGAAAATTATTATAGTGTTGGAGATATTTTTTATGTGCACGTTATCCAGCCACAAGCAATGAGAAGGCTAGAGACTGAGGACGGAAAATGAGCAACAGCCTAGTGCAGTTTATTTGGTGAAGAACTGATATATAAGTGGTTGCTGGTTTGTAGAAGCCTATGTTCTGTAATATTATGTCCTAGTCAACAACGGCTTCTCCAATGGTTTCGTGGAAGACATCATAAGAAGGAAAGTGAAACGCCATGCAACCTCTGAAGAGACAACTAACACAACACCTATACCCCCTATTAGACTATTTTACAGGAACTTCTTTTCCACAGCCCATAAAACGGAGGAAAGGGTCCTGAAAGATATTGTCAGTAGAAACGTTATCCCTACAGACAAAAATCAGAAGATACAACTGACAATTTACTATAAAACCAAAAAAACGGCCAGCCTACTCATGAGAAACTCTCCAGAAACAAAGCAGAACGTTGTAAAAGAGACCAACGTCGTCTATGCCTTCAAATGCCCTCTTGGGGATTGTAAGCCTCAAAAAACTCAGTATATAGGCAAGACAACAACATCTCTTTCCAGGCGTTTAACGATGCATATGCAACAGGGCTCCATTAAGGAACGTATAGCCTCTTCCCACAACCAAACCATCACCAGAGAAATCTTAGCAAACAACACAGAAATCATCGATAGATACAGCGATAGCAGGCGGCTCGACGTCTGCGAGGCACTACACATCAAGAAGTCAACACCAGCAATCAACAGCCAATTAAAAAAAATGAACAACTATATTCTACCCACTTCAAGACTCCGCCCCAATATAGAAGCATAAAGAAATATGGACCAATAGGCTTTCTACAATTACTTCAATTCAATACCCATTGTTTCGTGTTCTGTCTTGTGTTTTAATTTAATACCCATTCAATACCCATTGTTGAAAGTTTGTTTTCACCTCATCCACCTCACCCAAATGTAGATATAAAATCGAAGATGTGTAAGCTCTATTCAACACAGCCACTCTCCTGGTCAACAAAGGTGTCCAGCAGCTGGACACCCTCATAAAGACTGTGAAGCAGTATCCTCCCCCACGATAACAGCTTGATGGTTAAATGCAACCTCAGAACACTGGGAAAAAAAAAATTAATAATTACGGGAGACATCTCCCGTCACGCAGGGTGCAGTCGCACCTCCACAAATCTCCAGTATCAGCTCTTGATACTGGTAATGGCTGAAAAGGGCCACCACTTACGGGCTATTCATGCCCGTGCCACCTTTTGAGTGGCTTAATCTTTATCAATCAATCAATCAGTTCTATTCATTGGTGAACCCCGACAGAGAGAGTGCATCTTCTGCCAAACTGTCACAGAAAAGCCATTACTTCACTATCTTCTGGAATGTGAAGCAACCAATGACCTTAGAAGAGCTTTAAGAGTTCCTGAATCATGCAGTGGCCACCCTGAAGCCATCAACACAGCCACTCTCCTGGTCAACAAAGGTGTCCAGCAGCTGGACACCCTCATAAAGACTGTGAAGCAGTATCCTCCCCCGCGATAACAGCTTGATGGTTAAATGCAACCTCAGAATACCGAGAGAAAAAAAAATGTACCACTTACGGGCTATTCATGCCCGTGCCACCTCTTGGGTGGCTTAATCTTTATCAATCAATCAATCAGCTCTATTCCCACGGGAGACATCTCCCGTCACGCAGGGTGCAGTCGCGCCTCCACAGATCTCCAGTATCTTCTATTGATACTGGTAATGGCTCAAAAGGGCCACCACTTACGAGCTATTCATGCCCGTGCTACCTTTTGGGTGGCTTCATCTTCATCTTAACACATTCACAAAGGAGACATCTCCCGTCATGCAGGGTGCAGTCGCGCCTCCACAGATCTCCAGTATCTTCTATTGATACTGGTAATGGCTCAAAAGGGCCACCACTTACGAGCTATTCATGCCCGTGCCACCTTTTGGGTGGCTTCATCTTCATCTTATCACATTCACAAGGGAGACATCTTCCGTCACGCAGGGTGCATTCGCACCTCCACAGATCTCCAGTATCAGCTCTTGATACTGGTAATGGCTCAAAAGGGCCACCACTTACGGGCTATTCATGCCCGTGCCACCTTTTGGGTGGCTTCATCTTCATCTTATCACATTCACAAGGGAGACATCTCCCGTCACGCAGGGTGCAGTCGCACCTCCACAGATCTCCAGTATCATCTATTGATACTGGTGATGGCTCAAAAGGGCCACCACTTACGAGCTATTCATGCCTGTGCCACCTTTTGGGTGGCTTCATCTTCATCTTAACACATTCACAAGGGAGACCGTCATGCAGGGTGCATTCGCACCTCCACAGATCTCCAGTATCAGCTCCTGATACTGGTAATGGCTTAAAATGGCCACCACTTATGGGCTATTTATGCCCGTGCCACCTTTTGGGTTGCTTCATCTTCATCTTAACACTTTCATAAGGGAGACATCTCCCGTCATGCAGGGTGCATTCGCACCTCCACAGATCTCCAGTATCAGCTCTTGATACTGGTAATGGCTCAAAAGGGCCACCACTTACGGGCTATTTATGCCCGTGCCTCATCTTCATCTTAACACATTCATAAGGGAGACATCTCCCGTCATGCAGGGTGCATTCGCACCTCCACAGATCTCCAGTATCAGCTCTTGATACTGGTAATGGCTTAAAAGGGCCACCACTTACGGGCTATTCATGCCCGTGCCATCTTTTGGGTGGCTTAATCTTCATCAATCAATCAGCTCTATTCAGCTTCAGTTGTGTGTTTGTAAACTAATGTCTTTGAAAATGTAATAAGTTTTACGAAACGCGCTCAAGTGTCGCGTCAGACTAGAAATAAAAATGAATTTTGGAGAATTGATCTTTGAATTACCATCAACAGTGAAAAGAAACGTAAGAAAGATCGAGAAAATTCGTGTTAAAATTATTAATCTTACTTTTTCGGTCATATTTAATAATATATGCCTACATGCATGCACACAAGACTTGCGCACGCAACGCACACAAGACTTGCGCACGCAACGCACACAAGACTTGCGCACGCAACGCACACAAGACTTGCGCACGCAACGCACACAAGACTTGCGCACGCAACGCACACAAGACTTGCGCACGCAACACACACAAGACTGGCGCACGCCACGCACACAAGACTGGCGCACGCCACGCACACAAGACTGGCCGCACGCCACGCACACAAAACTGGCGCACGCAACGCTTGCGCACGCAACGCTTGCGCACGCAACGCACACAAGACTTGCGCACGCACAAGTCATGCACATACAAATACAGGTGAGTAAAACACGTATATTATTATAAATACATGTACTTAATACATATTTATACAAGTGATATCAAAATGGGCGACTTAAACAAAGTATTTACATAAGACCGATATTAGTGGTCTGCGCGGCGAGGCTGGGCGGGCCTCGTCGCACGCCCCGGGACCACGACAGCTGGCGAGGCTGCCCCAGCTGGTGTCCTGCACCAGCTGGGGCAAGACCGTGGTCCGGGGCGGGCGGGCGACGGGCGTACAGCAGATGTCCGGGGCTGGGCGGGCGGGGGGCGGAGGTCGTGGCTGCTGGCGGGCAGCAGCTGAGGCAGCAGCAGCAGGGGCCGGGCTAGTAGCCGTAGCCGTACTTCATAGTTGAGCACTTGGTGACTGTGTGGTACTCCGGTACAGTGGCGTACACCGTCATGGTGACGTACTGGTTCACAGACTCCGTCACCGTGTTGTAGACGTACTCCTGCTTGTACTGTGTTTCGTACTGCGTGACGTAGTACGGGTTGGTGACGGTGACGGTGTGGTACTGCTGCTGCACCTTGGTCTGCGTCACGTAGTAACCCTTGGTCTCGTAGCCGGTCTTGGTGACTACGTTGGTCATGGGGTAACTCTGCGTCTCCGTCAGCGTGACGTAGACGGCGGCGGTCTCCGTGAAGTACTGCTTCGCCGTGTTGTAGCCATAGACGGACTCCGTCATGTAGACGGGCACCGTCAACATTTTGGTGTCATAGAGGATCTTGGTCTCGGTGTAGATGTTAGGCTCAGCGTAGGCGGTCATAGTGGAGTACTGTATGATGGTCTTGGGGTAGACCAGCGTCTCGGTGATGTAGGCGTACTGGGTAGTGGGCACGGGCTTGATGACGGTGGCGTAGTGACCCTGAGTCTCCTGCACGTCCTTCGTCATGATCTTAGTCACGTACTTGGGGTAACAGGCTTGTTCCTTGGGTGGCGGCCCGTAGGAGGGGGCGATGGGCGCCACCTCGATGTACCCTCCTCCCCCGGAGGGAGGGTGGGGAGGGTGGGCCCCGTGATCTGGGGAGCCCAGTGCCCCCCACACCAGCGCCACCACCACCACGCCCTGCACACCTGTCCCGAACATCTGCAATGACACAATGATATCAATATTAGTATGTGCTTTATTATGTTGAGTTCGTGGAGACCCGACTCACTACTATGATACTACTCCACACCTGTATGCTCAACCACTTGGGCTGGACGGTAGAGCAACGGTTTCGCTTCATGCAGGTTGGCGTTCGATCCTCGACCGTCCAAGTGGCTGGGCACCATTTCTTTCCCCCCGTCACATCCTAAATCCTTATCCTGATCCCTTCCAAGTGCTATATAGTCGTAATAACTTGGCGCTTTCCCCTGACAATTCCATCCACCACACCTGTAGACACACACACACACACACACACACACACACACACACACACACACACACACACACACACACACACACACACACACATACACATTCTGTGTATTAGAAAGATTGTTACCAGTCACTCTTCTCTTGATTCTTAACTTCTCGCCCCCTCCTTCTCCGCCCATTCCTCCGGCTTCTCCACCTGCGTGTAAAGTAAGTGAAAGTGGCACACCCCCAGCAGGGCGCAGCACAACTCGAGGCGCCTCGCTCTCTCCAGGAACAGTAATAAGGTAATAATATCAACCGAAGTGTGGCCACCACCACACAACCAGAGGTGAGGTGGGGGCTGGGGTCCCCTCAGGTGAGGTGGGGGCTGGGGTCCCCTCAGGTGAGGTGAGGGCTGGGGTCCCCTCACGTGAGGTGGGGGCTGGGGTCCCCTCAGGTGAGGTGAGGGCTGGGGTCCCCTCAGGTGAGGTGGGGGCTGGGGTCCCCTCAGGTGAGGTGAGGGCTGGGGTCCCCTCAGGTGAGGTGGGGGCTGGGGTCCCCTCAGGTGAGGTGGGGGCTGGGGTCCCCTCAGGTGAGGTGAGGGCTGGGGTCCCCTCAGGTGAGGTGGGGTCTGGGGTCCCCTCAGGTAAAATTACAGTATCCAGGGAGAAAGCTGGTCACCAGCCCTCGCTGCCACCTTCCTACAGTTCATCACCCAGTTGTAACCCACAACCATGCTGGAGTGTGAGAGACAGTCCACAACCATGCTGGAGTGTGGGAGACAGTCCACAACCATGCTGGAGTGTGGGAGACAGTCCACAACCATGCTGGAGTGTGAGAGACAGTCCACAACCATGCTGGAGTGTGGGAGACAGTCCACAACCATGCTGGAGTGTGGGAGACAGTTCACAACCATGTTGGAGTGTGAGAGACAGTTCACAACCATGTTGGAGTGTGAGAGACAGTCCACAACCATGCTGGAGTGTGGGAGACAGTCCACAACCATGCTGGAGTGTGGGAGACAGTCCACAACCATGCTGGAGTGTGGGAGACAGTTCACAACCATGTTGGAGTGTGAGAGACAGTCCACAACCATGCTGGAGTTTATGGGGTACGCCAGAGACTGTCTTCAGTCACTGACAGGTGGGAAAGCTTAGCTGTCCTTGCGAGGTCGCAATAACAAACATTCACAATTTATAATTGCGTGCGGAATGTTCAAATGTGCAGGCATGTAATATATTTGTTCTTGTTACACATTAGCTTAATTCCGGTACAGTACAGTACTGAGTAAGTAATTGTTTTGTAGAAAGTGGTTAGGTGGTAAGTGGTAGGAAGTAGGTGGCAGGTAATAGGTGATAGATAATAGATGGTAGGTAGTAGGTGAGCAGATGGTGAGAGTGAGATGGTGAGTAGTGATCTGCCGCGGCCTTGCCTCCCCCTCCTCTCAGCTTTCACTGCCTCTCTCCGCCACCCTCACTTTCTCTTGCTGGTAATGAAGGAAGCTGTTGCTCCCCAGACTGGAAGAGGCGGACCCAACATGGCTTCCTCCCGGCCTTCAGCCAAGTCTCGTCTCAAGGTATTCATACTTTGTATCGCCTATTGTAATTGATACTTTATATAATAATTAAGCTTTAATCTGTATAACTTAGACATTATTAAACCTTTGTGGTGGGTTAGGAAGCATGGCTTGAGGCCCCTACTAAGGCAACTTGTGTGATGACTGAGGCTTGGAAACAGCGTTCACTGTCCGCCCTCAACTCTGTGGACATCAACTTATATAACTGTGTTTATGGTGGAGACAGAAGGAGTGTTGGAGGGCGCTTGGCAAGTGCAGGCACTGAGACACTCCTTGCTCAAAGTCTCGTCGCAAGTCTCCCAGCCTGCGGATAGATGGACACTTCTCCATTTGCTGTCCAAACTATACTATGGGTCCTCTGCATATTCCACGTATCTTACTGGCTTTTGCGTCAGGAAGCGGTGCACCGGCGTTACAAAACAATCTCCTTCAGTATTGTCCTCAGTACTTCGTATGGGCTTTCTGATGCCCTGACTCCTGTTTATACAGGAGTTTGGCTCTTGTCTATACTGAGAAAACTCTTCCTTCTCTAAACACCCAGGAGCTCTGGTTCCAGGACCTAAACACCCAGGAGCTCTGGTTCCAGGACCTAAACACCCAGGAGCTCTGGTTCCAGGACCTAAACACCCAGGAGCTGTGACTGGAGGGTGTGACTAGCGAGACGTGTGTCTGGAGGCGGAGAAGTGTCTCCGTGACACACGCTGGCGGCAAGAACGCCGGAGAGAGGCGGCGCAGCGCCAAACAATACATGTAATGAGAGAGGAATGTGAAACTGCTGGGAGGGTGAATGGCCACTGCTGGCTTCCTGGTGCCACCATATTGCTGCTGTTGCAACTTCCGTAACATGCAACCTTATCTTCTGTTTTATCTGAGGGGCATGATCACTCAGGCAATGAATACCCACCTCATCCACACCACAGACATTGAAGACCCTCCACTTACAACATTATTGACCCTTGCAGTAGGATCTTAAAGACTCCCGATCTAAAACATTGAAGACCCACCAGCTTCAATATTCCCTCCCATGTTGGGACCTGTAGACATGAACGAGCAGATGTGCTGGCTGCTGACGGCGCTGAAGGAGACGGTATTGAATACTTCATATCCAAAGACTTTCTACAAGTTAGAGGCTTCATGAGGCAACATCACCGTGAGAAGGAAAGGAGGAAGAGAAGAAGTCTGTGAGTCTGTACGCTGGTACAGCAGACAACCTCAGTCATTATGGAAGTAGAGGTGGTCGCCGAAGGAGGGATTCTGTAATTGCACGAATTCGTCGTGGATACAAGTACCCCTGGAGATTTAGAATGGAAACAACAGCTGAACAGTGGAGCTGCAGAATCTGTGGTGTCAGGGAGGAACGCCACCTTGACTACTATCTGGGAGATTGTACCCACCTAAGACACATTAGGGATATGGTTAGTATAATAAATCCCACATTGCTTAAGTTGGGAAACTACTATTTGTCACATAAAGGCTCTGTTCTTAAATGTTTCCCACTATGCACCCGCATGATAACGTAAAGGTGAGGAATGTAAGATGATAATCTTCTTGTTTGACTGTTCACACGAGAAAGTTAACGAGTCCTGGCTACGTCAGAATTCGAGTGCCAGGATGAACAGTCTAGTACATGTTCTTCCTACTGGGTGTGTTGTATATGCTGCTTTGGTGATGTGTTCACTCACAGGATGAGTGACGCTGCCCAATACTGTCACTATGGCGGTGTGTGTTCACCCACAGGATGATTGACGCTGCCCAATAAACTTGCCCTCCGGATAATAACAAGCAAGACAGGAGCAGGCGGGGGGCCGGACTCTGGCCCACTTGGACTCAGGCCAGGAGGGGAAAGTCGCCTGGAGAAAATCTCTGCTGTATCTTATTAGTTTCTTGTGTGTCTCTCTTCACTCCTTTGTCCTTCCATCTTCTCTATCGTCAGGACGCAATGAGAGCTGTCATCTCAAAGTTCAGAGAGAAAGAGAGAGAGAGAGGGAGGGGGGTAGACTTACACATCAAATATATAGCACCACTTGAGAGCGTTTAATGATTGGTGTGTAGCATTAGCGGACGTAACGACAAGATCATCAACCCCAGACGCCTGGGAGATATTTATACATGGAAGTAATAGAGCAAGAACTTGGCACTGTGATGTTATAGTGGCCAGAATACGCCCTATTCTGCCCGCTGCCAGTTGTATCTGGCAACTTTATCAAAACTCACATGTTGAATCCACCATGAGTGATTGATGAGTCAGAATACTTTGTGAAAATGTTGAATACAATATGTGTCAACTTTGTGAAAGTGTTGAATACAATATGTGTCAACTTTGTGAAAGTATTGAATACACCATGTGTCAACTTTGTGAAAGTGTTGAATACACCATGTGTCAACTTTGTGAAAGTGTTAAATACACCATGTGTCGACTTTATGAAAGAAAACATGCACTCCCTTGAACATTATATTGTAGAATGTCCTATATTGACTAACTTTCGTCCTCCTGGGCTGAGGTATGCTGAACTCTGTAAATACTATATGAGTACTGGAACACTCGATGATATGCATTACTATGTAATGCATCAGTTATACAATGTTTATGATGTCCCCATAACATGAGCTTGTGGAAGCATCTTAATTACCTTCAGCGGTTAAGTTGTTTATAACACACTAGTTCTTATAAGAGCTATCTTATCCTGTCAAAGGAGGATATAGATATTATACATATAGATATATATATATATATATATATATATATATATATATATATATATATATATATATATATATATATATATATATATATATATATTTAGACTTTATGTAGGATAGACAAAGATACTCACCTAGTTGTGCTTGCGGGGGTTGAGCTATGATTCTTTGGTCCCGCCTCTCAACTGTCAATCAATTGGTGTACAGATTCCTGAGCCTACTGGGCTCTATCAAATCTACATTTGAAACTGTGTATGGAGTCGGCCTCAATCACATCACTGCCTAATGCATTCCATCTGTTAACTATGATACTGAAAAAGTTCTTTCTAATGTCTTTGAGGCTCATTTGGGTACTAAGTTTCCACCTGTGCCCCCCCACCTTGTTCGCGTACTACCCGTGTTAAACAGTTTATCGTTATCTACCCTGTTTATTCCTCTGATAATTTTGTAGATAGGGATAATGTCTCCCCTTACTCTTCTGTCTTCCAGTGTCGTGAGGTGCAGTTCACGCAGCCTTTCCTCGTAACTCATGCCTCTTAGTTCTGGGACTAGTCTAGTGGCGTACCTCTGAACTTTTTACAGCTTCGTCTTGTGCTTGACTTGTGCCTGAATTGTAATGTCAATCCATCCTGACCTTCAACGCTTCCTAGAAAGTTGTAACAGAACTCATGGGCACCACACCAGAAACAAATACCTATTTGATATTCCAAGAGTACGACTTAATCAAACTAGGAATGCTCTACAAATCAAGGGACCCAGAATGTGGAATGATCTTCCCAATCATGTCAAAGATTGTACCTCTCTCAACCAGTTTAAGATGAAAACTAAGTACTACCTAATTAACCCCATGTAACCTACCTTACTTCTAAATGTCAAATGTCTTCTAAATAGGCATTGTAAAAGCACTAAAATCATCTTTGGTTGATTATTTAATCAATCACTGAACTATATGTCTAACAGATCTTTAGCCCTGTCCATGGAGGACAGAATAAACTGTACATATGCTGTTTAGCATTGTAAATGTGTGGCCACGTCTGTGGCAGTAAATAAAATAAAAAACAAAACACCTCTGAAGTTCCGTATACCAGAGCAGGTCTACAGGGACCTATCTGGACCTCACAACTGGAAGCTGAGGAAGATATATATATAATATCGACTTGTGAATTACTCTGGAGAATGATCAGACGAGTAAACAAATGTGGCGTCTTCCAGATCAAAGGACCTAGACGGTGCTTCAGTTTCACCACAAGCACAGCTACTACACACACACACACACACACACACACACACACACACACACACACACACACACACACACACACACACACACACACACACACACACACATCAATGGATACAACTATGATAACAGGCATATGCACAATATTCACCTTTGCTGTACTTTTGCCCGTCGAGGTCTGAATGTGCGCGAACACTGTGGCGGGAAGCCTGGTTTCCGGGCTTATATACCTTGGCTTTGGGGGGGGGGGGAGAATGGGTGAAGGTTGTGGGTTATTTGGAGGAGTGGGGAGAGGGAGGAGGAGGATGGGTGATGCTGGCTCCACCCACCTCCACAGTGAGAGAGACTTAACCACCTCTGCCACAAGCACAGCGTGACCACTGCATCATCAACATCATACCTCCCATATAAGCTAATGACGGCATTGCCATTTAAGTCTTGACAATTTAAAAGTTGAGACAAATAACAAGAATGGAGGGGAAGGAGGAGGAGCGGAGGGGGAATGGGGGGCGAGGGGTGGGTGGTTGGGGAAAGTTGGAAGTGGTTGGAGGGAGGGAAAGGGGGGGGTGGGGTGAGGGCGTGTGTGTGGGTGACAGGGAGAGCAAACATAACAACACTGCACACTCCCAGGCAACCTCCCAGGCTTGCTTTGTCCTGGATTCTGTGTAGGACAACCTTGTCGATGTTGTTCAACATCCACAAGCTCTGTGTACAACAACACAACTGCTGTGTGCTGCTGCTGCTGCTGGTCAAGTCTAGGTGGCGCCAGGAGAGTTCCTCCTGTGTTGTTGCTGTTGCTGATTTAGGGGCGAGGACGATCGTAGGATCGGATGAGCCCCGGCGTAAACGTATAGGGTTAATCGCAAATCCTAATGGCGAAACGAAGACGCGTATCACCAAACGCTAAGATGCCTTGCGGCAAAGAAACGCACAGTCAGGCAGATGATTAGGGAGCCCCAGGAGTCCCTCAGGGTGACAAGCACCAGCCCCGCCCCACACAGAGAACATCGGGTAGCAAAACCGAAAACTCGGCCCCCAACTAAAACGCTAAAAGTCATCCGGTGCCCCCCAGCAGAGCGGATGCCAGCCGCCCACCACGGCTGAGGGTGCACCAAGAACCGCCAACTCACGGCAACTCTCGGCCAAGCCGGCGCCGGGCACCATCACCCCGCCGGAAGAACCAAGCAGAAAACGTTCAAAATATATCAACAATCCTGTGACCCAGGGCGATATGTGTGCCAGGCGTCGTACAAACCGGACTGTTGATTAGGGATGCCCAACGGCAGTTTCAAATCCAAAATAGCAAAAACAGAACGTGACCCGGCGGTCCCAGGCGTAGGTGTCCTGACGTCCGCTGGTCGTCCAGGTTAAACCAGGAGTCCTGGTTAAATCATGTGTGTTGCTGCTGCTGGCCACGTCTCTAGGTGGCGCCAGGAGAGTTCCTCCTGTGCTGCTGCTGCTGGGCACGTCTATTGGTGGCGCCAAGAGAGTTCCTCCTGTGTATAATACAGTGACTATCCCCACATACAGTGACTTACCCACGTACAGTGACTTTCCCCACATACAGTGACTATCCCACATACAGTGACTTTCCCCACATACAGTGACTATCCCACATACAGTGACTTTCCCCACATACAGTGACTTTCCCCACATACAGTGACTTACCCACATACAGTGACTTACCCACGTACAGTGACTTTCCCCACATACAGTGACTATCCCACATACAGTGACTTTCCCCACATACAGTGACTTTCCCCACATACAGTGACTTACCCACATACAGTGACTTACCCACGTACAGTGACTTTCCCAACATACAGTGACTATCCCACATACAGTGACTTACCCACATACAGTGACTTACCCACGTACAGTGACTTTCCCCACATACAGTGACTTACCCACGTACAGTGACTTTCCCCACATACAGTGACTATCCCACGTACAGTAACTTACCCACGTACAGGATCTCCCCGCACCATCAAGAGAAAGTCGCCTTAGAGTAAGAGAAAGTGGAGCGGGTTTTACCGACCTCGCCCCCCCCCCCCCACCAACTCCCCCCCCCCCACCACCAATTCCCCCCTCACCAACTCCCCCCCCCCCACCAACTCCCCCCCCCCCCACCAACCCCCCCCCCCCACCAACTCCCCCCCCCCACCAACTCCCCCCCAATATACTCACCCCACTAGCGCCCCCTCCCCCCCCCAACATAATCACCCCACTAGCGCCCCCCTCCCCCCTCTGTATGTGTGTGTGTGTGTGTGTGTGTGTGTGTGTGTGTGTGTGTGTGTGTGTGTGTGTGTGTGTGTGTGTGTGTGTGTGTGTGTGTGTGTGTGTGTGTGTGTATGTGTTATGAGCATGACAGTGCTGGAGCCAGCGCAGCACCCCGGGGGACGTGAGGGTCCTGGTGGGTAGGACGGAGAAAACACAACTTCTTCATGTCCCAGGTGTTCACTTCCTGCACATTCCTTTCACAAATGTGACTTATACCATAGTCACGTCCACCTGTTGCCAGTGATTTGTTATACACTATGGAGAGTGGCAGGCACAGTGCTTCTGCTCCTTACTTTAGTGAGATGTTATCTTAGTTGTCTGAGTTATCTTCCATGGGTTATCATGGGTAACCATGGGTTACCAAGTTATCTTATGAGTTATCTTCCATGGTGAGATTCCATCTGGGCCTATAGCCGTTGTCACATCCAACCCTAGCAAAAGCTTCCATACATCCCCACTGGTAATCACAAACTTTTCTAGTGGTGCCTGGTTAACTATTCCCGCTCTAATCTCTGGAACTTCTCCTTGGCCTACTGTGAAGACCTCTTGGAATTTCGTATTCAGTTCCTCGCACACTTCCTTGTCGTTTGTAGTGAATCTGTCTGCCCCTATTCTCAGTTTCAATACTTTTTTTCCTCTTAGTTGTTTTCCTCCTAATGTGGCTTTACAGCAATTTAGGTTGATTCTTTGCCTTGCTTGCTATGCCATTTTCGTAATGTCTTTTCTGCCTCTCTTCTCACCCTGACGTATTCATTCTTGGCACTTTTGTATCTTTTTCTGCTCTCAAGTGTCCTGTTATTTCCATAGTTTCTCCACGCTCTTGTACGTTGTTGCCTTGCTAGCATACATCTCTGATTAAACCATGGATTTCTCGTCTGCATTTCGTTTTTTCCTTTTGGACCGGAACAAACTTGTCTGCTGCCACCTTACACTTCTGCGTGATGTAGTCCATCATATCTTGGGCCGTCTTTCCCCTGAGTTCTGTTTCCCATGTTATATCCATTAGGAATTTTTTATCTCCTCAAAATTTCACTTTCGGAATGCCAGCCTGTAGTTCAATGCCTCCTGTCGTAGGTAGTTTTCAGGTCCCTTCTTTGAGTACATTAACCCTTCTTCGACCAAATACTCAAACATCGGTACACTTTGATCGTTCATTCCCACTGGGGCTTCGAAACCGATTTCCCTTAAGTCAGAGTCGTTCAGAGTGAAGACTAGGTAGAGTCTCGCTGGTTCATCGTAGCCTCTCATTCATGCGGGTCCTCTGACATGCTGGCTTAAAAAGTTTTTTGTCACCACCTCCAATAGTTTAGCTCTCCATGTTTCCTCGCCTCCATACAGTTCCTTGTTCTCCCAGTTTATCCTTCCGTGATTGAAGTCCCCACGATGAGCAGATGGGATCGATTTCTATAGGCAGCAGAGGCTGCCCTCTCAATTATAGTGTTAACTGCCATGTTGTTTCCGTTATACTCTTTTCTGGGTCTTTTGTCATTTGGTGGAGGGTTATATATCACCGCTACTACTACTCTTGGTCCTCCCATCGTCATGATGCTTGTTATGTAGTCTCTGAACCCCTCTCAGAGCAGAATAACCATCTCAACGAAACTACATTCCTTCCTCATCAGCAGGGCCACTCTACCTCCTCCCCTTCCTTCCATCTCTTTTCCTATTACACTGTAGTCCTGGGGAAACACCGCATTCGTTATTATTCCTGAGAGTTTTGTTTCTGTGAGTCCAATTACATCCGGGTTCACTTCTTGTGCTCTTTCCCTAATTTCACTTGCCTTGCTTGTAATCCCATCTATGTTCGAGTACATTACCCTGAAGCTGACTCTTCTGTCTATCCTCAGTTTTCTTTGATTCCTCTGGAGTAGGAAAACAGGAAGGGCCCAGGATGGGAAGACTAGGAAGGATCTGGGGTATGAAGAAAACTGGCATGGGTGGGGGGGAAGGGAGAGTTTGGGGGATGAGGGCTTGGGGGGTGGTGGAGACAGGAAGGCTTTGAGAGGGGGGGGAAGGGAGGTCTTGGAGAGTGGGGAAAGGGTGGCCCAGGTGGGTACTTAGTGGGGGGGGGGGCTGGCAGGGGTTGGGGCAGGTAGGACTTCTATTGGGTGGAAGGTGGTGGTGATGCTCCTCCCACTGGGGCTGTTGAACTGCTTGTGGAGAGTTCCCCACTCCCCTCTGGGATTGTAGGGATCGGAGCTGTGGTTCCCTGATTCCCTTCTCTCTCCCTGCGCTCTTTCCTTACGTCTGCTGCCCTCATTCTCATTGTCATATCCCTCTGCAGGAATACAGTTTTGAACTTCGGTATATGTAATAGTCTGCTCTTCCTTGCTAGGCCTTCTTATGTGTTCTCGTGAACCACATATAGTGCCTCATCACACAGTGTAGAGCCACTCATCATATATCATAGTGTTCATCATATAGTGTAGAGTGTGTTCATCATATAGTGTAGAGTGTTCATCGTAGAGTGAGAGTGAGAGTGTGTTCATCCTAGAGTGTGAGTGTGTTCATCATAGAGTGAGTGTGTGTTCATCACAGAGTGAGTGTGTTCATCTTAGAGTGTGAGTGTGTTCATCATAGAGTGAGTGTGTGTTCATCACAGAGTGAGTGTGTTCATCTTAGAGTGTGAGTGTGTTCATCCTAGAGTGTGAGTGTGTTCATCATAGAGTGAGAGTGTGGTCATCAGGTGGTGTAGAGAGAAAGTGTGGTGAGAGTGTTCAACACAGCATCACATAACATTCACTCTTGCTCATTACCGTCACTCGCAACAATTGAAATTTGCAAGCTGTCACTATGCAATATTTCTTACGTGTAGACTCTCAGCACTCAGTCATGGGAGCCACGTAGTGCTCAGCACTCAGTCATGGGGCCACGTGGTGCTCAGCACTCAGGTGATCGGGTGTGAGGTTCTTCTACAAGAGCCGGCACAGCTCTGTGTTGGGACACCTGAGCCGTTGGGACATCCCCAGAGATGTGTCCCCCGCCCAGGCTAAGTGTCCAGCTCTCGGTGTA